AAAAACATAACATAATATAATATGATTTATTAATTGTCGACTCGCTTAGGTGGGCCTCCTTTCATCCTTTTAAGCCCACCTAAGCGAGCCGACGATTACAATCATCAATGATTTCATTTCGCAACAGATCCAAGATCAACAACGCTACTTTATTACCATGTCGCTCCCTTCCAGCTCGAGGTTTTCTCACGATGAAAGCTCCTCCGGCGAGTTTCCTCGTTTGAAAATCCGCCCATGCATGTATGTATCGAGAGTATTCCGCCATTGTGGCCCTGCGTATCAGCAAGTCTTCGTTCGATACATCGAGAACGCTTTTAGGGGAGACTCTCAAGTTGTTCTTGATCCTCTGTGAGTGGCTGGCTTCTGGCAGAGAGCCCTTTGACTTGTGAAAGACTTGTTTTATTTTTCCATATTTAAGGAAGGTATGCTGGAGTTTTTTTTTTTTTTTGCGAATTTGTTCTTTGTAATATTGGATGGCGGCGTATGCTTTTATCGCAGCGATGGTAACACCGATTTGCGATTGCGCAAATTAAGCCTTTTTAAAATATCTAGAGAGAAGCTATTGCAAAAAGGTAGCGTTGTTGTTATTATTATTATTGTTATTATTATTATATTTATTTACGTCGAGCGGATAGCAAGCGAAGCCTGCCTGCCGCCCTAGAACCTTCCGTGGGGTAGGTACGGCGAAAAAAAAAAAAAAAAAGGTAGCGTGGTAAAAGGATGAAAAGGTGATTAAAATAAGCGGAAAAGCAAAAGGGGAGTAGATAGCTTGCATCTTAAGCTTGCAACTTGGGAGTTAGAGCTTTTTGCCGCAACTTCGATTCGTATGGTGCAACTGCAAGTTGCAAGGTCAGATGCACAATTTACAGGATTTACGAGCACGAGCCATACAGATTGAGGCAATTCTTGCATCTTGACGTGCAACTTGGAGATGCAAGAATACTTTGGTCGTGCAACTTGGCTTGCATCTGCGAGCCATACAGTCTCTTAGTAATCTACCTATCCGAGTCTTTCTTGCATGAGAGACGGCCGATGATATAAGTAGGTACCCTGCCCCCCCCCCCTCCGAAAAGATTCCTGAAAGATGGCAGATAGTATACGATATCGCCTTGCTTTTATTTTCCATTTGTATAATCATCCACAAACCAGCCCTTCCTTTGGAACCAATACCACCTCACCAACACCAACATTCTCAGCCTCAACATGGGGCCCAGGTCCCTTCCCCTTAGCATCTCCATCTCCATCCCCCTCGCCTTCTCCCTCCTCGGCCTTCCCCTTTCCCTCTCCCTTCTTCTCCAAAGCCTCCCGTTCCTTCTTGCTCATAGTCAGCGCCCCCTTCGCCAGCGCCTCCTTCGGCAGCGGCCGCACATACGGCTGCACAACCCACCACGGCCGCTTGCACGCCCGGACCGTCGCGACGGAACTCTCGTCCATCTCCCCCTCCCCCTCCCCCCCTTCTCCACCATCACCATCCACACCCACCTCGCCCTTCTTCCCCGCTGGATGCCCTACAGCAGCAGCCCCTTTCATCTCGAGCATTGCCCTCCTGGCATTCGCCGCCGCCTTGGCCGCGTTCAGCCTCACGTCGTCTTCCATCTCCCGCTCCCAGGACTGGCCCCCGGTATCGTGGTAGGCCTTGATCCCCTCGCGGCAGGCAACCTCCACCAAGCGTAGCACGTTTTCAAAGGCTTCCATGTCTCCGGCCCGGCTCCGCGCCAGTGCATCCCGCACGTTGTGGTGCCGCGCCACCAGCGGCCTCAAGAGCTTGAAGAGGTGCGGCTGCATGGCGAGCATATTCGGGCTCGTACTTTTCGGTGGTCTCGCCCCGCCGCTCTTCTTCTGTTTGAGTTGCTGCTGTTTTTGCCGTTTGGCCGGGGGTCCGGTGTCAGTACTCGGGTCCTGCTCTGATTTGCGTTTCGGGCCGTGGTCTTTTTCGCTTTCTGCTGCTGCTGCTGCTGCTGGCGGCTGAGTAGTGGTGGACGTAGGGGATTCGGGATCGGGATCGGTGGGGAGGTATAGCGGTGCTCTGGCCGGCGGCTCGACTTCCAGAACGTAGCGGTGGATGATGTCCATGTACCTCCTCACAACAGCATCCATCCTCCACCCACCCTTCCCATCGCCACCCCTCCAATACTCCCTCCCCTCTTCCCCCACAGGTGGCGCATCCGCAAAGATCGCAGGGTCATAGAGATTCCCCTCCGCGCTCATCACAGCGTCGGCGCCCGTCTCCTCTAGACACCTCTCAATATCCTCCTTCCGCAAGATATTCCCGTTTGCAAACAGCACCGTCTCCTTCGGCAGACTCTCTCGCAGGAAGCGAATCATTTTCCAATCCGCCAGCCCGGTCTTGTGCCCCTTCATCTCCCGCGTCCTGCCGTGAACAGTCAAGATACTTGCGCCCGCCTCCAACACCTTCTGGGCATATGCCAGCGTCTTCTCCTTCGTGTCCAAGATCCGGATCTTCGCCGTGACGGGAACATCCAATCCCAGATGCAACTTGTTGATCAGAGAGTAGATCAACTCCTGGTCCTCCTGCAAGAAGGCCCCGTACCTCCCCTTCCGAGCAATCCCTTGCGGACAGCCCAGATTGAGGTCCACGGCGTCGCAGAACGGCGCCACGTACGTCGCTGCCTTCAGCAGCTCATCGGGGTTGTTGGCGCAGAACTGTACGAACAGCGGGCGATCGGCCGGATTGCCATCCAAGAAAGCCTTCTTCTCCTTTCCCTCCACCTCCTCCTGCTGCTGTTCCCCTTCACCCGCACCATCCCCACCCCCACACGAAACGAGAGAGGTCCTCAGAGGCTGAAAATGCGCGTCCCTGAACTTCGGCGTCTCGCAAAACAGACGAGCGTGTAGCATGGGCGTGTACGCCAGTAAATCCCTCTGCCTGTCGCCCGGTATAAACGAGCGGGATAGCATCCGCCACGCCTGCGTAGCCGTCAGCCATAGAGACCACTCCTCAGTCCAAGAAAGGAAGAACATGCCAAATCCAAGTCCAGGTGCAGAGGGGGAGGGGGGACACGTACGAACTCCGATTGATCAACCATAGGCGCAAGCACGAACTTCGGACTCCCAATACTCTCGTAGAAAGCTCGTCCGTGAAGCTTCTTCGTCTTCTTCTTCTCCCCTGCCTGTGCCTCTCCCAAACCACCACCACGCCGCATCTCCTCCTCCTCCTCCTCGCCGCCACCAGGCCCACTGCCACTGCCATTGCCATTGCAGCTCACCCCCCCGCCGCCGCCATCGACCGCTACCCTAGCCGCCATCCCGGCCGCCTCAGTCTCAGGTCCAGTCGAACTCGAACTCGAAGTCAAAGAAGCCATCATGAGCCCCCCCCTCGCGTGAAAAATTCCCGCCTCACCCAAGCCCGCAGCCGTACTAACGAGGGAGGGGAATCGCCGCCGGGTCCCAGCTGCCCACCCCCCCAGCAGCAACAGCCCCCGTCGCAGCGCAGGTGCCGCCGCCGCCGCCACGCTCGCTCGCAGACTGGAAATCGTCCGCTCGTCCGTCCGCTCGTTCGTTCAAGAGTATGTGTGAACAGTTTATAGTGTAGATGGGGAAGGAGGGAGGCGAGGCGGGGTGGAAGGGGGTCAAAAATTAGCTTACTTCTCAACCGCATGCGTGCATGCCCTACGTGCACGCATCAGCCTCGCCCACGAACTCCCATCCCAAAACTTTCAGCCTCGCCCACAGACTCCCGTCCAATTTTTTATCTTCCAATTTTCTCCAATTTTTTCCAATAGTTTTTTTTCCCAACGTAGCTAGTGCCTCGGTCCACGAGGCTACCCTTGCACAGCACGCCGCACACCGCTTCCAGCATCCAGCATCCACCCAGCACACCCCCCATGCCCACCCAGCAAGACGCAGCCTCTCGATCGAGATCGAGATCGCGATATCAGTCAGACAGTCAGACACAGACAGGACAGGACAGGGCAGGATCTCAGGAACCGAATCGGATCTGAACTGATCCGATCCGATCCGATCCGATGTGATTCCAAGTAGCAAGCATAGGTAGGTACCGGTAATCTAGGGAAAGAGTGCTTGTTGACTACCATTACTTACAGAGTAGAAGCATTTCTTCGCACACACACATGGCAGGCCTGCATTGGCCAATTGGATAATAAATGATGTGCCGTGCGTACCCTGGAGGAGGCGAGGATGGGAATTAGGTTGGGTGTGAGAGCGTGCTGTTTTCTTTTAGTGACATGGACTTCCACCATCATTCTACTGCTGTTCGGATGCATGGAACCGGATCACAATGCTCAACTCCACCTCGCTTGGCTTCGTTCAAGTCCACGTCGACGGTGCTCTGCGTCGTCGATGCCTTCGTCTCTACTGCTAACTGACTTCATTCAAACTTGGAAACCAGCATCTGATTTCGCCTCACTTCACATTCCATTGCCAGTATAGAGAGAATGATAAACAAATACGTGTAGGTATCCACACCCACACAAGAAAGAGTACCATTTGATTACCCATCCTATGCAACCCTTCCCTTGATTCGCTGCCCTCCCCGCCCCCCCCCCTCCTCTCACACCCCCATAGAGCCGCTACACAACACCCCAATCTCAATGCAATATGATACCAGTAGAAGCAGAAGTAGTGGACAAACGCATCGACACAGAGTGGAGGGGGGGGGGGGGGGGGCCAAAGACAAAACGCGTCGTAATACCGTCTCCGTCCCTGCATTTGCAACCCTTACATGGACGAAATGACAAGGCCAGGCGCGGAGATTTTCGAAAAGAAGTATGAAGCGCATCGGTCTTCCAGGCTCCCAAGCTCCCCGAAGAACACAATCACACAAATCGTAGTCCTACCTGGCGAGGACCGTCGCTCAAGAAATTTCCGTCTTCTGGAAAAGCCTTGCAGCAATACATCTTGGTCACACTTCCTGCTTCACGTGTGGTCTTCCTCTCCCCAACAACACTCCTCCCCAACAACACTCATCTTCCTGACTCCCCCTGTACGCGCGAAAAGTGAAAACAGACAGACAGCCGCCGCTTGTCTAGTGGAAGAATATAGAGACCGAAAAATCGCTCAGATGTGAATTGACTCCTGTACACCATAGAATGCGAACCTGGTAAACGCTAATAATTATCGATTGCGCGTAGCAGTTTTAGGCCAAAGTTATGCGAAGAGGGGGTTGGTGGCTTTCGTGGACCGCCCGAGGCAGCCATAATCGTGGTTTCGTTAGAAAAAGTGGGTGTAGATCTTGGAGTTCTCGTGCACTACCATTTCCTGGGCGACATTAGCACAATTTCCGGCATCGCGGGAGAGGACTGGATACCATCTTGAAGTTGTTAATCTCCTCCTTGATTTGCTGCGCAAGCATCGGAGTCAAACGGTTGCAGGTGGCAATCTCCCCCCTACGATCGTACTCTCCGCTTGGCCAGGTATCGTGGAATTGAATGCGAGGGCTGAACGTGGCATTTCGCTTTGCGGCAGCACCTTGGGGCGTGCCTGGGACACTCTTGGAATCGCCACGGAAACGCAGCGCAGACATGAAGTAGTCCTCTCCACCTAAGCTGAGGGAGCCATTCTTCTTGTGTCCATTTTCGTCACCTGGCGTGCTGGGTGCCGATGATTGAGGGGAGTCGTTGACGTGGGGGATGTTGGGGAGTTGGAAGTTAGTAGACTTGGGATCGAGAGGTCGGATGACTGGGGAGGAGTTGCCAGAGTCTGTGCCAGAGCCTAACATGTTAGCAGATCTCGGGGGTGAGGGGAAAGGCTGACGTACGTTTGAGAATACCCTTTTTCACAGCTGCAAGAACCTCGGCACGCTCCTTCTCACCTCCGACAATGCTTCGTCTAGCAGCAGAGTTTTCGGTGCTCGCGCTTCCCAGTCGCTCAGTGACGCTGCTTGAGGCGTTGGCCGCATCGATGGAGTTACTCTCCAGCTTGGGGAAGCCAGTGCCACCGCCAGCCTGATCGTGTGGGTCAGGGTTGACATTGACCTTTTCTCTCTCCGCCTCGACGTTGACCATAGATACCTGGGCCTGGCTGACTTGGGGGAGCGCCGAATCTGCTGCAGGCACACCGATGACCGATTTCGGCCGGAACAGCCCAACCAAGGACCGGGTCGACTTCTTCATACCCTTCCCCATCTTGCGAATCATGATGGACGCGGACGAAGCTGTGGAGGATATGGAAAGGTTATCGGTGGACCCAGTGAACATGTGGCCCTGCCCCGAATAGATGTCTGATCCAATCCCTCCAGCCTCCTGCTGTTGTGCAATTCGGAATTGTTCTTCATCGTGCTCCTCTTGATACCTGTCCTTTCGTGACTGCGAGCGGCTGACGGTCGCTGTGTTGCTGATCGCCTGACTGTTCTCCGCCGACGCTCGTCGAAGGTCGGCGGCACTGCCAAACGAGAATGCCCTCCGCAGCCTGGAGGTTTTGCTCTTCTTTCCTTCCTTATCGTTCAATGCAGCCAATTGCTGAGCAGCGGGGCTCGGGGGGCCATTTGCGACCTGCGCAGAGGCTGGTCTCGTAAGTGGCTGCACGGCTGCAGGAACCGCCGTTGCGACAGTGTCCTTGGGTCCTGACGCCTCAGGGCTCATCGTCATCGGCTTGGAAAGAGGAGAAGGGGCAATTCGTTTCGCGGCATCGGTAGACGAAGCTCGAGGGGGTATATTTACGAGTCTGGAAGCATCGTGCTTGCCCGTGTTCTGGTCCACGGCAATTGCCGCTGGAGATTGCGCGGATGGAGACGAGGTGGGGTTTTCTCGCTTGGCCGCCTGGATCAAGTCTTGGATTAGTGGACGGATCCTTAGAAACACTCTCATTGGTCAGGCTTAAATCAGAGGCGCCCCTAACGGGATGTGAAAAAGAAAACAGTGGCGGTGAGAAATGCACACGAGATCACTTACCGATCCAGGTTTGGAGGAGCCTCGAGCACTGAAAGTCGAGGCCACGCTTTCGGAACTGAAAGTCCTGCCGTGAGCCGCCGGCTGGGTGATCACGACCGGAGAACTTCGAAGGGGGTGCTGCTGGTCAATCCGCCCATTCGCGCTGCTCGACAGTCGGGATCCTTGTTTCAGCAATTCACCCGGCGTCCCGCTATAATCACCAACATCTATAGCGTGGATGCTGCGTCGACGGTATCTCTTGGCCGCATCTAGGCTCGGGGTTGATTTCAATTGCAGATCGTCGACACTCGTTGCCCCCGATGTGACGCCTGTCGTCGGTTTGGAGAATTGAGGCATCTGCAGACTGAAACTCTGGGACGATGCGGGAGGCAGAGTTGGTGCCTGGGTGGAGCTGCCATAAAACTGCATGACGTTGGGCATCGAGGAAGCGGGAGGAGAGATCGGCTGTGGGCTGGTCGCAGAATCGGCACGACGATTATTTGGTCGACGATATCGATCCGGAGAAGGCTTTGAGGGGGGGGAAATTGCAGAAAGTGCAAGATTCGGGACAAGGCCCGAGCCCAATACTGCAGACTGAGGTCTGGCGGCCCCTGAAACCACACGAGCAGTAATGACGGAATCATCTTTGCTTCCCGATCGATGGGTTAGTGCGGAGACATCGGACGAGGAGGAGGACGATGTCGTCGTCGAGACCGACGGAGGAGCCGGATAGCGTGATCGTACTGGACCCGACTCCGTGGGGAGAGGCATTGGGCTGGGTGCTGACGAGGTTCTCTGGTCAGCCCGGAGAGGGGGCCCTTGCCTCTGACCCGGTGCCGCAAGACTCGGTGTGCTTGTAAAGGCGTATGTAGGAGTTGGTGCCACTGTGGTATGTCCTCTGTAGTTCGATGATATGCCCTTCCCATTGCCCATTCCGCGGACGTTGTTACGCTGCATCTGTTGTGGATTCGCAGGGTACTGCTTGTGGGACTGAGACTGCGAGGCGTTCTGGAGGATGCCTGATGCAGAGGACGGTCGAGTTTGAAGCATGGTCAGGGTATTGGTCTGTTGTGTGAATGATTGAACCAAAGCAGCCATGCTGTGGTCCTCGGGGGTATGGAGGGTGAGCTGATCAGATCAAAGCCAAGAGCTTTGAATTGTGGTCAAGGGCTCATTCGTATGGAAAGGTCGGTCGTAAAATCGGACGGAGGGTGGAATCTGCAAGCTACAGTCACTGTTAGTAGACTGTTGTTAATATGCAAAATTGATAGCTCTTCATCAAATAGACAGGAGCGGCATCACAGAGACGTTTGCCGGATCCGAGAAGGGATGTGTAGAATGGAAGTCGCGCGACGAACCTTTGAAGGGGGGGGGGGGGGGGGGTCGGATCTGCCAACGAAGGTGGGTGCAACGATTAGGAAGGAGTAGGTCAAAATTCAAAATCAACACCAGTGAAGGGTTGAGCAGAATCGAATTGAAGAGGACGCCGGCGGCCAAGAAGGAGTTGGAGTCGAACTCGTTCGCGTCTTGCAACAAAGCAGCACCACTTTTACCGTGGGAGCTCTGCTCTATCCAGCCGAAAAGAGAGCGGATCTGCCGCAACAGAACGATAGGACTTCAAAGAAGCAGATGATGATGGGCGTCTGCGGACCTGTCAGGTCTCCTGGGGGTGAAGTTGCAGTGCTGCGTCGTCGTGGTCGTCGTGAAAGTGAGGGTCGTGGGACGGAGGAGAGGAATGTTTTTCTTTTCTTTTTTTTTGGTGTTTTTTTTTTTTCGGTTTTTCCCACCCCGAGGCGCCGGACGCGGACGTGGAGAGATTGGACAGGGCAAAGAGAAGGACGGGGGGGGAATCAAGACGACAAGGAGAAAGAGAAGCACCCACCGTCTTGGAAGCAGACGGGCAGGATCGCAGAGGAGAGTTGGGAGGTGGAAGTGGAAGGTTGGTAGAAAGGAAGCCGATGGGTGTCATCAACAGCTGCACATTATTGAGACGGAGCCTAGGTTGGGTGGGTGGATGGGATGGATGGGGGTGGATGGAGTGAAAGGGGGGTGGATGGAAAGGGTGACAGGGTGAAAGGGTGAATGGGATGAATGGGATGTGAAGGATGAAGAAGGTTGAAACTTGAGATTGGAATTGTACTACTAGGGAAACTACCACCTACTACTACCTACTACTACTACTTGCCCTCTCTCTCTCTCTGTGACTTTCTCCCTCACCCTCTCTCTCTCTCTCTCTTCTCATGCCTTGAACCTTCTGAGTTGAGGGAGGTGAGGGCCGGGGATACGGGAACAAGGGGCACCAATGAGGGGCCAAGGTAGGTCCAGGGATGTGGACTAGTGCATAGGCAGAGGCAGTAGGGGCAGGCATCGGCAGCATCGGCAGCATTGGTATTCCAATCGACACCCATGACCATCCATCTATCTCCATCTGTCTCCACTCCCGAGTGGAGACAGATGGCATCAGGATCAGGGAAGGGGGAAGAACGAGCCGGGGGGGGAAGGGGGGACCTGGTCGTGTTTACTTCTCTCCACCTCATTGATCCCGGCAGAATACGGGGCGGTGGCTCTTTCCACCAACTGAGGTGATTAAGGTGTGGCGGTATGGAGGTATGTACTACGTCGCAGGCGTAAGTATTACCCCTCGAGGGTACGGAAAACAGGGGTTTTAAAGTGGAAACTAGACTTTGGAGGCACCCTCGAGGGGTAATACTTAGGCCTGTACCGTGGTATAGTATGTATATACTACTATGTATGTGTGTATATACAGTATATATCTATATCTATCTATCTATCTATCTATCTATCTATCTATCCATCCGTCCATCCGTCCATCCGTCCATCCGTCCATCCATCTACACACATCTACACGTACTACCAATATTACTACAACTATGCCGCTGTCGAGTCATTCCATTCAAATGCTTACCGAGGCAGATCAACATTCAATAACTGCATTCCTCAATCCCCATCGCATTGTTTGTTGACATCCACACCCACACCCACACCCACACCTACACCCACACCCACCACACCCACCACACCCACAATGTCTTGTATGCAGGTGGAATCTCAGCCTCCCTCTTCCGGCCTATGGCTGCTTCTCATTAGTTAACAATAACGGACTCGACTCGACGCGACCCGGATCGACTGGGACGTGGTGGCCGCCAATATCGACGCCTCACCCGCACAGTACTCCGTGCAACGTGATGTGATCATGGCCCATGTTTTTTTTTTTTCTTTCCTGCTCCCCTCGGTAAAGAGGAACACAACTAAAAACAAAACAAAACTACTGAAACCCCGGCGGAAGCCACTCCTCGCAAGTCAAGTCCGGCGTGAGGGGTGCCTAATTGCCAATGCAATCCCAATCCTAATCCTTATCCCAATCCCATTCCCCCATTCCCATTTCCCTTCCCAGCCAGCTCCCAATCCTCCCTGACTAATAATAGTCGCTTTATCTGCTCGGGCAGAGCACCTCCCACTACCTACGTAGGTAGGTAGTACTACTCCGTACAGTATACAGCCACAACGACATACCGGTACTACGTACGTACCGGTAGTACGTCTACTACGGTACGTATACGGTAACACAGCGCCTCTACCACAGCAAGGATACCTGCAGCATCCCAGACAGAGAATCGTGCTTGTGCGATGCCCCCAACCGATTTTTGCTGTGTGGCTCTGCTGCTGTGAGAGAGAGACAGAGACTCTCGGCATCTGAAACGTATGCAGCCAGCATCTACCTACTCCATCGGTCAAGATCCCAAGGCACCTCCTACCTCCCACCTCCTACCTATCTACATACTACTATCGACCTACCGAGTGTCAACCGGGAATCGGAAACCCATCCTCGCAATCATCTTCCCCCTAGAAGGAGGAATGCCGGATATCCTCAATGTCCACCAGTGCAAATCCAGCATCACACCGTTATACGTAGTACGTAGAATACCTATACAGAGTAAGTTCTAGCTCATCCATCACAAGCCGACGTATCTAGCTCACGGATCGCCAGCTGGTCCCTGCCTGCTGCGCATCGGGTTTAGGATTTGGAAATCCGAGGACGAACATGAGAAAGATGGAGATGTCAAACTCAAGAAAGCAAAATGCGGAACGCGTGACATTATTCCGTCTGTTATTCATGCATCAATCCATGATCGATCTCCGGAGACGGAGAAATGCTGTCTGCATTCTATAGTCTATGCAAATACTTGTACCAAAAGACGGCTTTCCTCGGCATTGCCCGATGTGTGCTTGTGCTTGTATGTATTTACACAGGGTTGCATCTGGGGCCAGGTCCCTCCGCATGTACATACTACGTTTGTAGTAGTACGTAGTACATGTGGAGATACTCCGCACATATATATATGTATATATATATATGTGATATATATATATATAAATATGTGTGTGAAATATATATATGTGTGTATATATACATTTCGTACCCTGCATCCCTCTTCCTCATGATCTCGTATCGCTGCCTTCCCATGCATGATGCATTCACCAACCAAGCATCCAACCAACAAACCTCCCTATACTCGCCCCATACTCGCCCCATAATATCGATCAGAGCATCATCACTAGGTACCGTAGTAGTAGTTGTACATTGTAGTACATCGGCATGAAAGTCTCCCGGCCCCAAAAACGAAAACGGAAAAGAACCAAAATAAAACCAAAACAGAAACCACCCGTACCCGCCCTTGCCCTTGCCCTGCCCTGCCCTGCCCTGCCCTGCCTGCCATGCCAACAATCACTTCCCTCCAGGGCTCTCCGTTGCGGCTCCGTACGAAAATAAACAACAGCACTCACCCACCCACTACCGGTACTACCCACATCCGTACGGAGAGCTGCGCTGGTCTGGTCGCACAAGACATCATCCCAACAATGCAGAGGGAGCCACAGCTTGCAAGCAAAGCAAGCAAGCAAGCAAGTAAGCAAGTAAGCAAGTAAGCCGCACTCCTGAAACAGCATGAAATGAAGTCGGTACAGTAACACCGACGACGGTGCCGGCCGATCGCCCCTTGGTTGAAACAGCGAGACGGCCAATCTATATCGTCGTCGTCGTCGTCGTCGTCGTTGCTATCGTCGTCGTCCTCGTCCTATCTACAGCAAACCCATCCAACCACTAACCCTCCGTCTTCCAACCTACGAATATCTTCTGATCTATGTATGCAATCTGGATGATTCCTGCTGCGGTATCTGCTAACGCATTAAAACCTTATCAATTTAATCTTAACGATTTAATTTTAATAACATTTTTGCTCGAGATGTATAGGTATCCTTCGAAAGCATCGATATCGATTCTCAAGGTCACACCGGGGTCAAGTAGATACCGGTAGATATCCTCCTCGTCCAAATCAGCCTCAAGTTAACACCTAACCCCTTAATACAAAGACACCTGCTGGATAATCATGCACGTATATAATCACGCATATATATAAATACACACATATATACACACATATAAACACACCCAAACACCCCAACACCCATACATATATCCCCCTCCCCCACCTCCCCCACCTCCACATCGTCCTCACCTCACCTCCCACTTCCCTCCTCATCTCATCTCATCTCATCTCCCCCGTCGCCGTACTCAAACCGTCGTCTACCTACCTAGGTACCTACCGGTACCTACCTACCTACCCACCCACTTACTTCGAGCTCAAACGCGCCAATCCGTGCACGCGTACGTGCGTACCTTCGACAAAATCCTCAAAGAAAAATTAAAGAAGAAAAAATTTTTAAAATAAAAAATCTTGATGAGAAAAGCTAAAGTGGCTGCTACAGATAGAGATACCGGTAGCTGGGTTGGTTGGTTGGTGGGAGGTAGGTAGGTAATTACAACAAGTAATTACCTAGGTGTAAGGACGGACAACAACCAAGTACCAGAGGGAGGGAGGGAAGGGGGGAAGGGTGGGTGGGTGCAGGATTGAGCGAGAGAAAACCAACAGCCTCGGCGATCGGAGGGGACTGACTGGCGGGTGTGGAAGTTACTAAAGTGTGTGTGTGTGTGTGTGTGTGTGTGTACTCTGTGAGTAAGTAGGTAAGTAAGTAAGTAGAGTAAAGTAGAGTAGAGTAGAGTAGCGTAACAGGAAAGAACAGAACCGAACCGAGCCGAACAGGGTACTATATAGGCCTGCCTACACCGTAAACAAATACCTGTCGATAAGTAAGTACTCAATGCTCAATGCTCCACACGGTAAGTAAGCAGTACCGTGCAGAGAGAAACGCAGTTCCGTCCAGTCCAGCAAAGCGCGTGATATCCAATCCAATCCAATCCAATCCGAACTGAACCGAACCGAAACCGAGCCGAACCGAGCCGAGCCGAGCCGAGCCGAGTCGAGCCGAGTACCGCACGCATACCGGTAGGTACCTACTCACTCAACTCTACCAGCACTCATATTCGAGTTCCATATCATAATAATCCTATCTATCCATCTACGACAATCAACCAACCAACCAACCAACCAAACCAACCAAACCCCACCCCCCACCCCACCGCTTCCCAAAACAGCAACTCTGTCTCTCCAACCCCCATTTCCCACCTTTGGCTCGGCGTCGTCCGTCCGTCCGTCCGCTTGCGCCGCACAAGACGAAGCAGCCGTGGTGTACGTACGTACGTACGGGCGGTCGAATCCTGGGTGTTACGATACGGTAGCTAGCGGACGTGGACCTACCTAGTCGCGACCATCTATCTGACTCCTAACCCGATGGTGAGATTAGGGATTGTGAGATTTACTGATGCCGAGATAGAGTACCTAGGTAGGATCCTATTTTGCGCTTGCGAGTTTCGGTTTCGGTTTGTTTGGGTGGCTTGTCTTGGCGCGGCAGGAGGAAATGGAAGGGGGGAATGGGGAGTAGGCGGGGGGGTCGAGCGGGTTGGTTCTGGAAGGGGGAGAGGAGAGGGGAGGGTGTTGAGGTGAATATGTAGGAAGGGGGGGGGGGGGGGGGGGGAGGTAAGCGAGCCCTGGAGTCCGTTTCCTCTTCGTGATCGGCTCGGTTACGTTACGTTGCGAGGCTTTAGCTAAATCGAGGGAAGGACTGGCGCTGCAGTATTTCAGAGGTTGTGGACAAAGCAGTTGCAGAATACTTGCCCAGCGAAAGATTTAGCATCAGAATGATCAGGTTTGATATTTCAACAATGACGTTGCGCGAGTATTATAATTCATCATCATTACTCGGAACGGGATGTAGCTTAGAAAGTAAGAAGATAGCTCTGTAGCTTTCACCACCGACGTCTGGGTCAAGTGTCCAGCTCTGCTCCACAGATGAGAGCTCCGCTGAACCCCCATGAGTCTCTCTCTCGCTTCTCGACTACTACAGGCGCAGCTTGTATAGACCCACCAGCGGATATTGAGAGGAAAGAGACGCTTCCCTGCTTTCAGCCAAAGGCCCGGTCGGTCTCTTTCAGAATCTGTTCAAGTCATCGCAGCTACCCAGACCCTGCGGAACGGGGGGCAATAGCTCCGGTCCTGACGACGCACTCGTACGCTTTGCAAAGACCCTTCCACCCCTCTGCTTCGTCGGCAACGACACGCTCACAGGCCTCATCACCATCCCCTCCTCCGCAAACTGTAGCTGTTGACTGTGCCTCGGCGAATCATCCTCCGAGATAGACGCCCGTCGAGCCGTGTGCACATTACGATCAAGCCACCCTTCGATATCGATTGCACCTCCATAAAACTGATCACTGAGCCTCGGCCCTTCCAATGCCCAAACACTGGTCTCGCTCTCTGCGATACTGACACGGTAATCGGATGCTATCCGAGGACTTGGAACACGCCTACTGTCCACCTCGACGACTTCGTCAGAATTGCCTTCGTGGTCACAGGTGGGGCTGTTCCACATTCTGACTTGGGAATCTGCCCCGGAATGACGGGCAGTGGACAATTGTGGCGTGCTGGGGCGTGCGAGATGAGCCGGTATGGTATCTGAGGACCCGCTCCGGGCGTGAGAGAAGGGCTGTGAAAGTTGGGAAAAGACGGGAGGGAAGCGTCGAGGCCATATTCCGGAGCCTCTCCTACCCTGCATTGGGAGCTGTGCTTGGAAATGGCTCGATAGTCGATTAGGGAGTACTTCAGAAGAGGGGGTGTGAAATAGAAAGTTTTCGTCTGATACGATGGCGGCCCCCTTGGTGTAATATGACGGGGGGGCCTTTTCGATAAATTTAAGATCTAGACCTGATTCTGTAGAGATTTCGAAAGGGATCTTGGATGCCGAGCTTGAAATTGGTTTGATATTGGTGCTGGGAGGTGCAGTCAGGTCGAAAATCGAGGGGAACCAGCGAGACAAAAGTGCTCGCATCGCTGGCAGACAGGCGCAGATCAAGGCGACGCATAGTTCGACGAAGCTCCAAATCGCTGGCACGGCGTTATCTCCCGTAAGTGGAAGATCTGTCAGACGCCAGGGCTTAGTTTCGATATAGGACTGGAAAGAGGGAGAAAACATACACGACGGGTCTTTCGACGTTGCAAAGGCTATCAAGTACTTGAGTCTGATGCCACTCGTAATGCAGGCCCTGCCAGATAGTTTAGCTCTTGCACCTTATCCTCGAAGATTGGACTCACAGGCTTCCGAGGCCAAACATCAACAACAGACTTAATTTCTTTTTGAGGCCCATACGGAGCCGAAAGAGTAACGGGATCGGTAAGATCAGGATGATCAGATTCAGGACAACGGAAATTGAACCGGTGGCGTAGGAGAGAGAATTGACGTCAATACACTTCGAAGGAACTGCCCGGTCCCAGATGGCAGCTGCGAAGTCAAATTAGTAAGCGTTTCTCATATCGAGTTTCAATGAAATCGTACTCATGGGACTGCATTGGAAGATAGTGGCGAACGTGGTGCCCAGCCACGACAGGACGACTGCGATTAAAGTGATAATATCAAGTATGCAAAACCATCGCGGCGTGAATACTCGCAACTAACTCTGATCAATGAGATGCCGTTGGGAGGGCAATTTATCTTACGTAGAACACGAGAATGGAGGATTTAACAAAAGCCAAAGCTGAGATGAAAATGATTTCGGCGATCCAGAAAATCTGTAATTGTCAGACGAAACTGATGAATGTTGGTGGGGTTATAGTTACCTTCAGCAGCTCCACCATCTTGGACTGATCGACGTCCCAGAAATGCCTTCCGTATCCATTCACAAGACCGTCTGAAGATTTTAGCGTACGAGGCTCTTGTCACAGGAAATAGCCTTCTCACTGTATATTTGAAGTGTGGTATAGGAGATCAATAGAGCCCCCGCCCCAACGGCAAGCCAATCATCGAAGCCAAGTCTCCTATTAATCGCATGTCGACAATAGCACCGTAGGCTGACAGCAATCAAAGCAACCGAGCCGCATACCAGACCAACAATAGCAATTTGCCAGGCTCGGCTTTCTGGAGCAATACCTTTGCACAGTAGTTTGTTCAATAGTATGACCTCTGCCTATGTCAGCTCGAGTCCATATTACAAGCAAGATGTCAACTATACGCTGTTGCTCTTCGAAGTCGCATGTACCTAGAACACAAGAGGCAATAGTCACCTGTAGAGTCTCATTGCGGCACGTTACGGTTGGATCGGGTAGAATCGTGATATTCATCTCCACGCGCTGGGCGATGCATTTGACCTGCTTTCGTGTGAGCCATGCTACCAGCCGAGATTTCGAGGTTTTGGACGTACTGCACACTGAGGTAGCTCTTGGAGAATCGCAACGATGTCCGCATTGGCAGCGACCAGCACCTCTACCAGTAAAGGCAGAAGACAAATGGCTCGCAGGAGATGCATCGCGGGGGGTTAAGAACAGTAGCCTGGGACAATACACAACAGGTGGATTGAGCGGGGGTGCACCGCACCTATATCTCGACTAGATGCGCAGTGGTCTAGTCTTGGGCGCAAGCCCGAAAACACATGGCATCCAAGCTCTGGCTGTGAACTCCGCGTCTGCACAGACAAACGACAGAAAACGCGATTGCCGATCAGAGTAAGAAAGATACATCTTCAGGCAATAGGCTGCTTCCGAAAAACCAATGGATTGGGCATATAGGATCGGCGGAAACAACGAAAGGAGGAACTAAGATGAACTGTTCATAATCAAGACTTTACATGTCTTGGGACGGAATATAGAAGATGAGAGGCGATTTAGAAATTCGGCTGCTAGATGCTAGCGGGCGGTCCGAGAGCTCCTAGTTGACATAGAGGGAGGACCTGAGCTTGAGCCTAGCTTCCGCTGGTAGTGATATTCATCCCGGGTTGATGGCGACTTCTACCAAGACTACCTCTAGATAGTGCCCATGCTCGCAGCATGAGAAAGTTCGAGGTCCGAGTACGATTCGCGACTGAAAACAGAAGGACGAATACAAAGAAAAGAACCAGATCTGAAGCGGATATATGGAAGAGGATGAAGAGAAAAATACAGTGAACGCATGAGGATCCCACTTGCGCGTAACCGCCCGAGACCGTGTGCGAGCTGTCGTGGCCGTCGTTCGAGCTTGCGTGTTGTTGGGACGGCCCGTCTGTCTGCTCGCGTGGAAACCCTCAAACGAAGGCGCCTCTCAGATGCTTCCTACTGTGCAGCATCTTCCCATATCCCGAGAGCTTGTTCCGTGCGACCCGAAGTGGCGGGACTGTAACGAGGAATGCTGTAGTGATGATGATGATGATGTAGGGAGGGAAGGATGATGATACACGTGAAGTAATGTCAGCCACATCACGGGAACTATGTTGGAAGCGTCAAGCTCTGCTGGATTTCACCAGTCTAGAAAAATAAACGTCTTTGCACCATGTATTGAGCTGCTTTTCTTTTCGCAATATGCCATCTTCGCGCATTCTTCAGCTGGCTGATATCCTCTGTCACGTGGTATCGACAGCCGACTCGAGGTATTCTCATTCGCTTGCTCGTTGTGAAAACAATGTTGTGACTATGCCTAGACCGACATGCAGAAATCCTAAAGCGAGCATCGATCGACATGCACTCCTCTTCTAAGCTCTGTACAGTGCTCAGAATTTCATACTGTAGCCGCCGTGATCCCATGCAACGAAGCGCCCTCCAAAAATAACTCACCAGTCAAACCGCCGTCACAATCCTAAGCGAGGACTCCCCAACCTCGACCATGCCCAACCGATCCCAACTGATCTTCCCCTCCGATCTGCTACCGGATGACAAGGCGCATACGCGCATCGCTATCTGGAGCTCCAAGCCCGCGAAGGGCGCGAAGGAGAAATATATCTGACGGGGAAGCGGCAACGATGTCTCCTGCAGCACAATCTTAATCTAGGAGTCTCGGCTATCATCTCCCCCCGTAGTATGGACGCTTCTTTCCTATTTATGTCTATGGTCAGCGTCTACACAAGCCAAGTACAAAGTACTAAGTACGAAGTACTTGTATGTTTCGTTTCCTCTCGTTTTTGTTCTTGCAGTAGAGCACTATCATTGCACGGTTGATCCAGTCCCATCCGCAATATCCAGTCCTTCCTTAAGACACCTTTCTCTGGGCACCACCTGATCTCTGAACATTCTTTACCATGTCTATGACATCCTCCAAACCAGAGAAGAAGCCCGAGCTTCAGTTTGACACCAGCGAATACGAGCCCCCTACTTTTGAGAGACAGCACAAGGCTGACTCTGCCCGACTCGTCAAATCTGTTGGACTGGGTCTGACTGTGCTTGCTCTCCTCTCCTCCATCGTTGTTGTGGGTACAGCAGGAGACACCCTCCGTGTATATAACAAGACCACTCTCGGCTCGGAGTTCCACCTATCACTATGGCCTACAAACTTTGATCTCAGGCCGACTGTCGCCCTGGTCACTTGCGGAAACATCATCATGCTCTCCAGCATTGCGTTCCTGGTTGCTACTCAAGTCCCTGCTGTGCGTCTACCTTCTCCATATCAGTACTGGCAGTCGCTAATTTGATGTTAGATCAAGAACATCCACATTATTTCAACATCCGTCTCCTACCTTGCACCCACCATATCCCTCATCGCATCCCTGATCGCTACCTCCTTCTTCTACGGCGTCAATGCCTCGAACACGACCTTCTCGCTCCAAAGTTGGTCTTGCCAATGGTCTTCGATTGACATGCATGTGCAGCCACACTGGAGCTCGCTGTGCAAGCAGAGCAAAGTCGCATTATATCTTACCGTTATGATGATCCCGCTGCAAGTGTTCGTACTTGGGACTGCGGCATGGGGTGCGCTTGCTGCGAAGAAGGAGAGTGTCCAGCACGAGCGCATGGAAAGTCCCGCTACGTCTTGAAGAGCTTACAGCTTGCTACACCACTGGATGCTACGGGGCCGACGAGGAAAGATACGCGTACGAGCAGAAGCACTTGTGGGCATGGGTATCTTAGAAGTATGTTTTTGTTTTTGTTCGGTTAATTATGCTGAAAGCTTATGCTGGTATCGGGCATCTGAGTGCGGGGTAAATATGGAATAATGGGAGTGTTGTCAGTATAAGGGCAGTTAGAGGGAACCGAAGGAAACTAAGGGGCTCCTGACGACTCATATGGCTCAGACTTCGATTCATAATATTTCAGTATCTCTCCCGTTACTACAATAGGGAATCGATCCCGGGCTCTAGTTTCCGCGGCAAGTGTCCTTTTCTTATCCTCGCAAACATCTCAGAGACAACTTGAATACTCAGAACTGTCTAGTGTTGCTTTATTCCGCTCTCTGCAAAGCTCCACGCCATCTTTTCATATCACTGCGTTTTCGAATATTCGTGCTTGAGTTTGGCCAAAGAGAATGATAGCGTTCTTGATAGGTTTCCTACAGCGAATTCCATCCAGATATGAGATGCACAGATGTACAATGCGCTGATTCCAAACTCTCGCAAGAAAATCTACGTTTTTTTCAACCTGAGTCCTCAATATCGGAAAATGCATCAGATGATCCTCTGCTGACACCCTCCGCGCGAACCTTACTTCTTGGAAGAAGAAAAAAAAAAAGAACTGCTCTGCAATTGGAGAACCGAAAGAGAAAGATAATGCACTTATCCTGTACGGTATATACAGTGAGGAGTCGTTCTTCGAACTCGAACTCGATCAAGACCGCAACGTTTTCTTTCTTCTTTTCTGACCGCCATCGATCAATCAATCAATCAATCGACATCCGAATAACAACTCCCCATCCCCCTCTTTTCTTCGCCTCGCTTCTCCTACCTACTAGCGTCTCGGCTTTCAAAGACACTGCGAGAAGTAGGCGTTGTTGAAAGTACATACATACGGGCTGACGCAAGCCTTCGGCCCAGTCCAATCCTGTCCACCGCACTAGGACTCAATCAGTCGTTGCCTCGATTAACAATTGTTCGGGAGTGGTAGATAACACGAAAACACCAGATTATGGGGGCAAAAAACCAGACACACGGATTACATTACATACCTGCGCGTAATGCGATGCCAGCGCACCCGTTGCCGTTGTGCTCGTTGGCTTGGCGGATGTTGTCAGCGTTGTCGCCTAGCGCGATGATCATCAGTTAAGACTGACTTCACAACTCCTTTCTCTCTCTGTCTCTACCAGCTATCTCGACGAGACAGACGACGAGACGAAAACGATCGACGGGACTCACTACAGGCTTCTTCGTCGTAACCGATACACCCCCACCACCAGCGTTCTGTCCACTCCAGACCTCCGGCCCAGGAACAGTGTAGTTGCTAAAGTTCGCGTAGATATTAGCCGTATAGCCTGGCTCATCGCCCTTGATGAAGCCCGGGATCGACTCAAGGGGACCTGGAGCCCCGCTGCCGCCCCCGGTGACGGTCACCTGCGCGCATTCGACGTAGAATTGCGGGATGCCTGCCGGGTACGGGTTGTGGATTGCCAGCTGCTGGATGCGGAGGAGGTAGTCGCCGCTGGGCAGGGCTGTGGGGACGGTGTAGCTGTAGTCCTGGGCCAAGGGCCAAGTGGCTGCGCCGTTCGAGAAGGTCGGGCCCAGGTCGAGGATTTTGAACCAGACGCTCCCGGCCCCGTCGAAGGCGGCGGCGGTGCTTGTGGCTTTGGCCATGTATCTGGTTCCCGTTCCCGTCAGCTGGATCCTTACGCGTGAAAATTCGCAGGGGAGGGGAATGAGGGATGGTACATCGACAGAGGACCGTTGTGGTATACGGCAGTATCACTCGTGAACGTGAACGAGGAGCCAGCTGCGATGGTAATGGTCTGGGTGTTTCCGCCGGTAACACCTCCTTGGTTACAGCGCAGGTCGGTGGACGTCAAGTCTATCACAGGCGAGTTCATGTTCGTGTTTTGCCGGATATATTGATACACTGGGTACTTGATGCCTGCCGAAGAGAACTGGTTGAAGATATCTGAGCTGTCAGCTACGAAATACTACTTAAAAAAGATAACCCCAACGGGCGTCTAGAGAGCGATTGATGCGTACAATGTGCGGACGTTTGGCTTGCCAATACCCAAAAGCAGGCGATGAGAGCAGTAAGCGACCTCATGATGAGCGACCGACAGAAAAGACGAAGCTTTCTGAATAATCCGGAAACAGGATCCTAAGATGAGTGGAAACAAAATAAACTGACCGATGGGAGGAGCGGCGCCTGCTTCATATATCTCTATCCACGCAACATCACATCCCACCCATCACCAACAAGCAGCGGCAGCAGCATGCTAATTCTCGTCTCCAAGCAATCCCCATCCCCATGATTCCTAATACGACCTTATCAAGCTACACATCCATTCCAACATCCACAGGCCTTGCTTGCATATACCCAACTCATCTCATCCCCTCCTCTCCTATCTCCTCCTCTCCCAGTCCTGCTCCACCCTCCCCCCGGCTTCTAAAATCTACATAGCACACCTCGCGATGCCCCAAAAATCCCATTCCCGCGATTCCACCTCTCTCAAAAATCAATACCCCTATTCACATAAACCCATGTCGGAAAAAAATATAAGAACGCGCTGATAGATACTCCGTGGCCGAATCGGGAAGGCGGAGGAACGCGGAGGATGTGCTTTCGAGATACCCGCGGGTGCCGGACCGTGGCGAGCGGCATTCATTCATTTCAAGAAAAAAAATTAGAGGCATATTCAGCCGCGCCAGGGGGGTGGGGGGCTATGTATATGCTAGACGGTAACACTCTTCAAGTTGAGCGGTATCTGGATTTGAGAAAGAGCGGGAAAAGGGGGGGCTCGCGATGATGATGGGTCGCTTGTGGTGGTTGTTGCTCGGGATAATTTTTCCTTTCTTTATAGGTCCGCCAGGCGTTTCGACTGAGTGAATGGTGATTTGCTTAGGTTTTTCTTAACCTCGAGAAGGGAGATCTGAGCTCATGTGAGGAGGTAATGGGGGAATGGATTTAGGGGGTGTGCGGCCCGGTGAGCTTACTTTGACGACATTGTCTCGCTTGGCTAAAGGAGGGTAAATATTGATGATCGTAGTCACCGCAAAGCAGTTGGAACATGTCATGATAAGAACGAATAAGCATAGGGAGTGTATAGCCATAGAACTCGGTCAGTTATCGGTAATGGCCAATCTTGGGTCCGCCTGTCTGCTGGGTAGAGGCGCGTGTTCTTTGAGTTGCTACGTAGTAGATGATTACTACTACGTCGTAGGCATAATTGTTACACCCTTGAGGGTAGGGTAACCAGGGGGTTTGAAGTTGAAATTTAAACTTTGAGGCACCCTCAGGCTGTAGCAATTTGGGGGGGGGGGGGTTAAATGCAGCCTTGATATGGGTAGGTCTCAGCGGTATCTTAGTCACTTGACAATTGTGAGAAATTGGGTTAGCCAACGACGTTTCCAGCAGTTGGAACCAGCAATGAACTCGTCGTAAACAAAGTACCATCATCTATGACCGCAGCGCCGCCTAGATGTTCTTCCTGATGCTGTCTTCTTCTTCCTCCTTCGAAGCCCTTGCCGGCGTTGCTTTGCCGAGATTTGGTAATAACGGTTTCGAACTCAACACACCATCCGCTCTTCTACTCTCTTCCCCCATGAATACATATCGATCGAAAGTATAATTTTGCAAGGGATCTTACCAGATCTTAAACCGATCAACTTACCGTTGTACTGTAGTATAAAAATTCATTCAGCCTTGAAAAGTATCTTTGAGCCAGTATTCAGTCTGTGCAATGGAGTTGACAGGGCTTTAAGCCATTCAGAAATCACCGCTCTACGATTTATGGAGCTAAACTGGGTCCGACACTTATTCATGGGGGGGGATAGTACCAATCGCTCTCTTCCTACCCCCTGATAGCCATCTCACGCCAATTCCTCACTTCCTCACGATAGCCCAAACCTCACACTCATACAACAACCCCGTGACGGCCAGACTCGCGACTCCCACAACCGTGTCGGGAGGCTTATGCCCCGCAGCCTCCTCGTCCATAAACTTGATCCACGCCTCTCCCCAACCCCGATCCACCACATCCAGCTTGTCGACCTCCGGATCTCCCGTCTCCTTGACGATGTAATGCTTCACCTGCACGACATCCCGTGGGGTAGCGCCGGCGGACGCAAGACACTTTTTGATTTTGCTGTAGGCGATGGGCGCCTGGAGGGCGATGGTGGTCTGAGAGCTTGCGTCGGACGGGACGAAACCTGTGAGGCCGGCGAGGGTGACGAGGTCAACGGACCCCGGGATCAGAGGCGTGATGCACACGTGGCTGTAGGTTGGGGGTGGGAGAGGGACGCCTGGGGGGTTGAAGGCACGGGGTTTGTTGTCTGTTGACATGGCCGATGGAATATCGGTTCGTACCAAGATGTGGGAGTTTTGAAGTGAGAACAGTATATGTGATAGTATATATGTATATATCTACATATATATAAAACTGTGGGTGTACTGAGCCGAGAAGCAGCTCGAGGAGAAAAGGGTCATAAGCTTCTTGATACACTTGGCACACTTGGCACACTTGGCACAGCTTAATCAGCCAGCACTCAGCGAGAGGGTCTCCTTCATTTTCCCTTTTCTCTTCTGTATCCTCCTTCTCAACGGATTAACACAACACAGCACAGCAACGTCCCGAATTGAAACAGAATATGCTGCCTGTCCGGTGCTCGAAATCAACATTTTCTACATCATATTTATTGCTTCTTCCGACAACGTACTGCCTCGAAGTTTCTGGGAATTTTTCGAGCTCGAGGTTTTTGTTTTGCTACATACTACTACGTGTCTGAGCAGCCGTCTAATCAAGTCTGAATGCTCATGGAACCCCCCCCCCCCCCCCCCTGAATTATCCGAATCTCACACAGGTAGGGTAATTTGCAGAGTTGAGTCGGGGCGATTGGAAGTATCGCTCAGTCAGTCAGGCATGATAGCCAGGAACAGGAAAGAAGCCCGGTACGTTAACGCCTCGGCCCCGCGTCCGGTGTCAGGGGCCGCGACAGACTCGACTCGGTCTTCACTCGGCCCTATCACCTTCCAGGAGACTTGAAGCTCTTGCAGGTGATGGTACATCGTGATCCTCGAACTTTACAGATGATCGAAGAACGCCTTGTGATTAGCGAGGCCAAGGCGGTCGAACCCCTTTCTGGCATTACCTTAGCATCACTTTAGCATTACTTTACGATCCAATGTTCTTTGCATCTCATGATCTATATCTGGTCCTTTTTGTCTTGCGGTTGCAACTTTTCTTTATACTTTTTTCATACTTTTTTTTATACTTTATTTTGCTACTTTATTTATACTTTTTTGTACTTTATTTTCTACTTTATTTTTATTTTTTGGATAGAAGGACGTGATCTGAGTTTTGAATAGTATGATTATGAGATAGAAGGTAGGGGAAAGAAGCATGCTTCTCCTACTCTTTTGTCGATTTTGATTTATATTCATCTGGTCTTTTGTACCGAGCGAGCTACCCAACCATCAGCTTGTCTTGCCAAAGTACCCTTGTACCCATAAGCATGGCTTGCATTAGATGCAGCAGCACGGAACAAGTGATCTAAGCTTCCACAACCCCTTCTCTCCTCTCGATTCGCGGAGTTCAAAGTACTTCATCTTAAACAACACGCCGCTATCACATATGTATCGCATTTCCTGCTTTAGGGGTCCATCTCCGATCTGCTGGGTCTAGATCTTCTAGATCTCTCTGATACCGGACCCCCAAGAGGTAGCTTCTGATATGAGCAACCCGCCAGACTGCCAATCATGTCCTCGAACGCCGCATTCAGTCGACGCCCAAGGTGCTTTCTATCTCAGTCCGGCCACTGGCTGACCAAGAGAGTTTCCTCGGTGCCAACTCGTTCGAAGTAACTGTCAGGTGGCATTGCGAGGGGTATTTTCATTACTAAACCCCTCCTGATCAATCGAGTTTCTTTCCAATGATATATAAGTCGTGCCGCCGGTCATGGAGCTGATACCTTGTCCTATATCGGCACTGCTCAGTCACTCCTTTGCTTGAGATTCTTGCTGTACATACTGCTGTGGGTGGTTTTCTATACTTTTAGTTGTTTTCGAGCATCTGTGAATAACACAAATTACGATCCGGCACCATGCAATTCACCAAATTTCTTGGCTTGAGCCTCCTCGGCTACGCAGCAACAACAACAGCAGTGGCAACGAACCTGACAGGCACTTATCACAGGCTCGCTGCAGCTTCGTACCACCTAATGGACTCGTACACCAGTGCAAATTTCTTCAGCAGCTTCTCACTCTTTACCGGCACTGATCCGACGCACGGGTTCGTAGACTACAAGGACGCAGCCTCAGCTACTGCTTCTGGCTTGATCAACACCAATAACGGACAAATTTATATGGGAGTTGACCGTACGTACTAGGAAAGAACATGCTACTTATCTTTGTAGACTTTAGGATCTCCTGGAGTCTGGAAACTTGCCCAGCCTTCTCCAAGTATTCTCTTTATAGCAATTGCTGAGTCCCCTGTTATTCAGACACGACTAAGGACCCCCCGAGAGGCCGTGCATCCGTGCGAGTCTCTAGCAACAAGGCGTATAACCATGGGCTATTCATTGCCGATATTGCGCACATGTAAGCCTCATCCTCGGAATTCCAAGCGAGGTCTGTTCTAACTTCTTCGCTTAAGGCCAGACAGCATTTGTGGCGTGTGGCCTGCATTCTGGCTTTTTGGGTACGTTGTGCTACCAGTCCAGACTTGTCCCTTGTCGACATCCTCGGATTCTGAAGAATAGTAAATAAATGACCATTTGATAGTCCAAACTGGCCCGCGAGCGGCGAGATCGATGTCATCGAAGGTGTAAACCTGGGTGGGACAAATCAGATTACTTTGCACACTACTCCTGGATGTTCCAGTAAGTACTACACAGTCATCTATTTCTCACTACTCACAGTCCCCTGAGGGAATGACACCCTATAAGTTCATGTCCATGTCCATCCATTTATCGAATCGATACCCTGCTAATAACGGTCAACCTCATAGTCAACACCGCCGGCTCCCAAGCAGGCACCAGCTTGATAAACACCGACTGCAACTCCAATTCGGGCTACAACGGCTGCGGTGCCACGACCACGACGCCGAACGCCTACGGTAGCGCGTTCAACCGCAATGGCGGCGGCGTCTACGCCATGCAGTGGGAGTCCTCCGGCATCTATGTATGGTTCTTCCCGCGCGGTGCCATCCCCAGTGACATCGTGAGCGGGGCGCCCGCGACCGGAAAATGGGGCACGCCCGTCGTGGCCTTCAACGGCGGGAGCGGGTGCGACATTGATGCGCACTTTGCGAACCAGAACATCATCTTTGATACGACGTTCTGCGGTGACGTAAGTCTTGCCCCCTCTGGTCCTCTGGCTCTTGTGACCGTGACCGTGATAGAGAGAGGGGAGAACTGGGAACGAACTCAAGCTGATGGTGATTTTGTCTGGATGGTAGTGGGCGGGATCTGCCGACGTCTGGGGCACCAGCAGCTGTGCCGCCAAGGGGACTTGTCAGAACTTTGTGGGCGCCAACCCGGGAGCTTTTGCGCCGGCCTACTGGAGTGTCAATTCAGTCAAAGTGTATCACCAGTGAACCCCGCTAGCGACTGATCTCACGTGTCTCCTTGCGACGTGGTCGGTTTTTTTTTGGTCCGATTCCGGTTCTCTGGTATATATGATTTTTGCAGTCTTTTTCAGGATGTCTGTAATCGCCTGGACGGCCCTTCCCTTACCCTTCCCACATGGGGATATGATTTCCGGGGAGGTATCGCACAAGCACGACTTTAATAGAAGGTTCATCTATTATTTAATAAAGTAAATGTGTCGATTCTGGGTTTCAAATTGAATTCCAGCGCATCCACGATCAACTTGTCATATTAAACGATTCGTAGCCGAAGCGCTTGAGGCCATAGGATGACATGGGATGCTTCAAATGCCCTAGCGATTATAGTATTGATAGTATAGTATAGTCCGGAATATTCTAGCACCGCGTCTGTGCTACTTAGGTACCTACCAAACATCAAATCAGAAGAACAGAAACATTCGTCCGAACATTTTCTTTCCCTGACGCCTTCCGGACAGCCAGCCCAGCCCAGCTTAGCTATGAGATTTCCCAGCCCTCGCCTAACACACACATTCCTAGACGACCATCCCAACCTCGCAACTTTTGCTGCGTCTGCATATCATAAAGCCCGGGTTCTCGGGATCGATCGTCCAAACTTTGTTGTACTTCATACTACATGAATGATCACTTGAGAAACCACCAAACTCGTTCCTGATAATTACATACTAACTGCGTCTATTACCTTGTTACTCTGTCGAGACTCCGCGTTGGACCTGTGCAATCGATAGGAAGGTGCACTCGCGGTCTCTCCCGTTCTGATCCAAGGTCCTCGATCCATCAAGCCGCCATCAAGCCGCCATCAACATCGTCAGCTTCACAGCTTGCTACCAACTTTACTATTGGTACCGGTATAAATAAGGCCGTTGCCAAGCAGCTACATCGAACCTAATCCCGTCGGGGCGGCGAGAGATATCCCGAAACCAACTCATCAACCAACCAACCAACCAACCAACCAACCAACCAACCAAACAAACAAACAAACAAACAGAAAGACAGAAAACAAACAAAGATAGACAGTCAAGCACCAGCATTCGGCACGAGCTGATCCTCCGATTCTACCATTGCGTCGCCGTCGTAAATACTTGCGACGTTCCCCGGACTCCAGCACTTTGCATAACTCAATCCACGACACGATCCACTAGCACGTCCCTTGAATTATTAATTCCAATTTCTAGGCGGGTCGTCCAATTTATGTGAAGGGGGCACCAAGTAGTCATAGCGTTCATCGCCCTCAGCTGTGCCAATGCCCTCTCCATCCTTCACCAAACATATTTCACAATTCAGCAGTCCAGAGCATTGTGTCGTGACGGCAAGGGACGACGAGGATTGTAACAGCCGGAGTTCCAGTCGGGAGATATGGGCCGAGGACTACTACGGCGCTGAGACTGCGGAAGAGAACAAGGACACGGCGTCTGCACAAAACCAGCATCTGCACGATTCGACTCCTGCCTACCCACCTGCTTCCTTCCAATTTCCTTCTCCCCCAACGCATCTCGGAGTGAATTCCAGAACATACAGGACGCACAAGAGATCACTGACGGATCTGCTACCTGCCGCCTTTTCGAGGAGCCCAGAGAGGAAAGGAGCGATCAAGCTCGATATCGAGGGAGAAATCATGGCGAATTTCACGGGCGGCAAGGAGGGCATGAGCAAGGTCGCGGATCAAGGCCGTGGAGGACTGAGCTCATGGTTCTCGGGGTCTTCGGCCATGGAATCCGACCTTCCGTCACCTCCCTCTCTCTCGAGCAGCCCTACACGAAATACACCCAAAATCGGAATCAAACCTTTGGGAAGGAAAAACACCATTGGAGGCGGCATGTTTAACTTTTTCACCGCCAGATCGCCTACCAAACAGCAACATACGGTGCAGATGCCCGCTGCGCTCAACGACGACGAATTCCTCACTCTCAATGTCACAACAGCTCTCTTTCCAGGAGGGGAACCCAATGCCAATGATCCCTTCTCCCCAGCGGCTTTCAAAAACTTGTTGATGAATGCAGAAGGACTATTGCTGAAGCTACAAACGGCGTATAAGCTGCGCACCATCTCCCTCCACGAACTTTCTGTCGAGAAATCTGCTATGAGCGAAGAAATGGCGGAAGCGGAGACGAGAGCCCGCAGCTTGAAGAGCCAGCTGGAGGATATGGCACACCAGGTCTCGTTAAAAGACTCTGCCATCCGCGAACTTGCTACCGAGCTTGCTGCGGAGAAGCAGGCACACGCGGAGGAGAAAGCCGCCAGGCATGTTGCTGGGAGGAGGGGGAAACATCTCAGCCTCGACTCGACAGGCGAAGACCTGGGTATCTGTCGCCGAACACGCAACCGACGCAGTGAAGGGGAGAGTAGTCTTGAAGGCGAAGGGGAAAGTGATGCCGAGTCTGCGAATTCGGTCTTCTCTCGAAGCCGCAGTCCTACACTTACCATGTCCTCTGTTTCGGTGGTCGATACCTCGTCGAGTACGCCGGAGATCATGGAGGCCTCGGTTGCAAGGGTGGTGATGAATCCGGGGAGGGAGGTGGCACGGCCAGCGATACAGAGGCCGAAAAGCGCCTTTCAGAAGGTCTATGGTGGAATGGGACAATCGCCCTTGGAAGAAGTGAGAGATCAGTCGAAGGGAAATTTCTGGGATGGCATCTGGGATGGCATCGGCATGGGCGAGGAGGGATGCGTCAACTGCCGGGGGCAAGATGCAAGCGTGGCATGGGACGCGGTGGGCTTGATGAGGGCGGAAAACAAGGGGCTGAAGGAAAGGGTTGAAGGGCTGGAGAGGGCGGTCGAGGGGGCATTGGATGCTTGCCATGGGATCGTATAAATCGATGTCCACAAACATTCTTCCCTCGCCGAGTGTCCGCTTGTCTCTGTGGGAGACGGAACGGGAGCCTGGTTGGCTGCTGTATAAATTGAAATATTCGGGACCAGTGGAGGGAGCATTGGATTGATTGCATTTGCACTGATTGCTTGATACCCACCCACCACGTACGTGGGTTGTACTGTTCATCTGCAGGCGTTTCTTTCTCGGGCCGCCAGCCGTGCGCAGAATTAGCTGAGCCTGGCTGGGCCGGGCTGGCTGGGCTGGCTGGGCTGGCTGGCCCGTCTGGTATTTTTGCCATCTTATAGCTGGATCGACGGGCTCGGAACGAGTCTGGCGTGTCGGGCATGTATATCTTACTTACCAATACCAATATCTCATACCCCGGCCGGTAGGTCTTTGTGTATGGCTTTGAGGAGGAAGTTTGAACGCGACGGTAGGTACATGATGACTCTCTTTCTCTCCCTCTCTCCCTCTCTCCCTCTCTCCCTCTCTCCCTCTCCCTTTCTATAGATACACATCAACCTCCTCAGCCTTCAAATTTCCCCAAATTTGACTTTGGACGGAGCTTCTTACAAAAAAGCGTACAGTGTAGGTACCGGTACTGTACTGTACAACAAGTAGAGTCCGCGCATGCCTGAACCACGCACCGCCATCTTGGCAGCAGAACCTGCATTTAGCGCCTTATATGCTTTTGTTCTGCTCCAGTTCTCTCTGCATCCTCCTGATCTGGTTGGCTCTATGCTTCATCAACAGGGCTTTCTGAGTTCTGATGCCGACTTATGAGACTTCAGAGCCGAGTATCTTGCATCTGTGTCGATGCTTATTTAGGAGAGCTAAGAGTCGGTGTGCTACTTGTCCATCCTGTCCATCCTATCCATCCTGTCCCATCCTGTCCATCCTGCGGGTCACCGGATTAGAAGCCTCTTGCCTGCATCCAAGAAAGCCAAATGTCGGCTACCGACACAGATGTATGCACTACCGGTAGTGGAGGTATGATTGTTGAAAAGCAGATATGGAACCTCTGCCCGGAAATGTTATCGCGCGCTTGTTGTCACTGAAGAGCACTTTCACCGTACGACCTACCCACGACCATCCATCATGGAGGAACCCACGAAAGACACCATCCAAGCTGCACCCCCCATAGCCGTAGATGGCAGATCAGACAGCTTCGAGAAGATTGAGGATGTCGCCAATCGTGAATTCTATGGCGGCTCCATCAGCGACTCCTACCGGATCAAGTCCGAACTGGTCAGCCGGTGTATGGAGGACATTGGAATGGGAAGGTAGGTGGGAAACGAACTCCGAACTCAGAACTCGGAAACTCAGAAGCTCAGATCTCGGGATCCAGGACTTGCATCATGATCAGCTGACTGATCATATATATATATACACGCATTTGCAGATACCAGTGGGAGCTCTTCGTCGTGACCGGGTTCGGCTGGACCACCGACAACTTCTGGTCGCAGGGCATCGGCACCGTGCAGCCCCTGATCCAGCTCGAGTTCGACGACATCACCCGAGTCGCGTACTCCTCGGTTGCGTACTACGTCGGCCTGATCCTCGGGGCCTTCTTCTGGGGCGTCTCGGCCGACTTCATCGGGCGCAAGCCGGCCTTCAACATCACCTTGCTCACCGGCGGCATCTTCGCGTGTGCCGCGGCCGGGACCCAGAACTTCATCGCCTTCAGCGCCATCTGGGCCGTGATCGGTACGGCGGCGGGAGGTAACGTGCCCGTCGACAGTCTCATCTTCCTGGAATTCGTGCCCGGGAGTCACCAGTGGCTGCTCACGGCCATGAGCGCCTGGTGGAACTTTGGACAGGTCATTGTCAGCCTCCTGGGCTGGGTGTACCAAGCCAACTTTAGTTGCGCCGCAGGAAGCACTTGGGAAACGTGTAAGCGGGCAGATAACATGGGATGGTTGGTTTTCTCCTCTCTCTCTCTCTCTCTCTCTCTCTCTCTCTCTCTGTCTCTCCCTCTCCCCCCCCCTCCCCCCTTCTCTCATCCGATACCTCCTCCGTCAACAAGCTGACCAGTGACCCCTAGGCGATACCTCCTCATCACCTTGGGTGCTGTGGCGCTGGCATTCGGTTTCATCCGCAGCGTCATCTTCAAGATGCCCGAGAGCCCCCGGTTCCTGCTCTCGAAAGGTCGCGATGCCGAGGCCGTTGATGCAGTGAACTACGTCGCCAGGCGAAACGGGAAGCCCGAGACACTCACGCTGGACATGCTGCAGAAAATTGACGCCCAGCTCGGCATTGCCGTCCATCACGAAGTCAAGGAAGGCCTGACCCGGATGGAGATCATGCAGGACAACTTCAAGGACTTCAAAGGCGTCGAGTACTCCAAGCTTTTCGCGAACAAGAAACTCGGCCTCCACACGAGCCTGATCTGGCTCATCTGGCTGACGATCGGTACGTGACGTCTCGCTTGTGGCTGACATGCGACTCGGTCCGCTGACCCCGTCCGTATCCTATAGGAATCGCGTACCCCCTCTACTTCAACTTCCTCCCATCGTACCTCGCCCAGAGATTCACCCAAGAATCGTCGCTCTACCTCACCTACCGCAACTACTGCATCACGTCTTCGGTCGGAGTCATCGGCCCGCTCGCCGCCGGGTTCCTGGTGAACACCAGGCTCGGAAGACGCTGGATGATGGGCGCGTCTGCCATCGTCACGGGGATCTTCCTCTTCGCCTACGTCGGCGTGGACTCGCCAACTTCCGACCTGGCGTTCTCAAGCGTCACGGCTCTGCTTGCGAACTTTGGTGAGAAACCTCCCCCCCTCCCCTCCCTTCCCTCTGGTTGACTGACCGACTACCCTGCGTTGCTCTTTACTAACTCGCTGATAAATTGAGTCTACGCAATCATGTACGCCTTCACGCCCGAATCCTTCCCGGGGCCCCATCGCGGCACCGGGACGGGCACGGCGTCGACGCTTCTGCGGCTCGGTGGCCTGTGTGCGAGTCTGATCGCGACGCATACGGGCTTCACGTCTGCGCCTATCTATGTCAGCGCTGGCATGTGGGTTGTGGTGGGCGTGATGGCGTTTGGGCTGCCGTTTGAGACGCATGGGCATGCTGCCATATAGACTTGCTCTTGTTCTTGCTCTTGCTAGAGTAGAGGCGTAAGGGGGAAGGGAAGGGGGAGGGGGGAGTTCCGATGCAGCCAGCGAGAGAAGGGCTGTATGATAACAGGAACGAGCTCTTTGGTTGCGTAATCCATCCAGTTGGCATGAGAGAAAGGGAGAAGGGAAGGGGAAGAAAGAAAGGAAGGAAGGAAGGAAAAGCTCTCTATTCAGAGAAGCTTGGGAAATAATCCGAACATTATTTGATTGAAATTCAACATGGCAGATATAATGATATCGGGGGGTTTTTTGGGTGGGGGGGGTGGAGGGCATGTATGTATATGTATGTACGATCAACATCGCAAGGCTAGCCAGCTACTTAGCTTGCAGTCCTCCTCTCACTTGCGTCTAACATTCAAATAACTCACACCCAACGAAGTAGCTCCCGATCGCAGAATATGATTCTTACTGAAATAGATATCGATATTGATCGCAGCTAGTATATGCATGCATGTATTTTCAATTTTCCTTTTTTTTTCTCCTCCTCGAGAGAGAGCAAAGAAAAGCTTTGAACTACCTCCGTAATAGACACTGACACCAATACCAACACTAACATCAACAACAGAAACCCCCCCACCCTCCACCTCCCTTGCGCTTGCTAGCGCTCGCTCGCTTGCCTGCTTATTACCTTCTAGACATTTATCTGTTTGTTTGATGAAATAGGAGACTTTCGAGGGTCCTCTGTTGTTTTCTTCTTGGCCTCTGATCTTTCTCTTTTCTGTCTTTTATTCATCGTTTGTTATCGTTTAGGGGGCTCGGCTCGGCTCGGCTTTTTTTTTTTGCTGGCTCTGCTCAAGGCAGGCAGGCAGGTGTGAGAATTGGGGGGAAAAGGGGGGGGGATAGGGAAATAGAGAGACTGAGAGGCAGCGAGCGAGCGAGCGATAGATAGTGTGGTTGGTTGGTTAGTGGGTTTAAGAATGAGAGTTGGTGATGGATGGGGATTGGAGCCATGGAATCGTTCGGTGTTTGGTATTGGTGTTGGTGTTGGTGTGCAAGAATTGGAGATGTTGAAGATGCTGAAGATGGGGGAGGGTTGACTAGGAGGGCCTCGTGTGTAACTTACCAAAGCGTGTTGTATCGAGATGGGCAAGTCACAAGTCAAACCATACTTTGAAGCCGGGCTGCGATAGGCAAAAAAGAAAGGGAAAAGAAGGGAAAGGGGCCGTTGAGGTTTGACTGTTGGTTGGTATCGAGCTCCACAGCGTGGCTGGCGGATTGCGAAAAGCTCGCTATGTTTTGATCCTGGATCCGGGGGAAGGGGGCAGTTTTGTGCTCTTCTCGTGCGCTTCTCGTGCGTCTTGCCTTGGGGTCTTGGTTGGTTGGTTTGGCGAGACGTGGATCGATCTGTTCTGGTCCAGCTTTCTCGGATACCGACCGACCGACTCGATTAGCTAGGCTAGCTTTCTGATGTGATGTGAGGTGATGTGATGTGATATATTTCTGCCACAACGCCGTTTGCATCGAGTGCCGGGTGTGATTCTTTGCGAGAGGAGAGAAAGTACGGTACTATAAGTTTGAAAGCAATCTTGCCCGATACTGCCCAAGAATGGATGGATGGCCTCGATATCGATATCGACCTGCAACCCTTCGTCGGTGATGGTTATTCTTTCCCCTTCGTTCTGCGGAGTAGAATCCTGCGTCCCGTTTGGACCCTACGGAGTAGGACCTGCCAACTCGGCTCGCTGACCAAGATTTTCTCTAGAGTCTGGCTGGCGAAAGAAGGGGTTCTCTTCCCCTCATCCAATAGCGCTGCCAAAGATCAGACTTCTCTGTTCAGCGTCTTGCAGATCGAGAAGTATCGGCAGAGAAAGAAGCTTGGTTCTTGGATCAGGATGGCAGAGTAGCCGCGAGAGTCCAAGGTTTGATAGAGGTTTCGTCCAAGAAGATTGATGCTGACTGAGGTCAACTCGGAAATTGCGTCCCATTGAAATACCTTAGCAGAGAGGTTGCACGACAGGTTGAAAAGACTGCGGGCTGTGAGCGGGTTTATGCAGCGGAAACTATTTTTAACAGACTTTGGCAAGTGGAGCTGTCAAGTCCGCAAGAACCACGACTACTCCGTACTATCCGTAGACCCTCGTTTCAGCCTGGAAATCCCTCTTGGAACACAGTTAAAGGCCTTGCAATTCTCTTTGCCCAAAGTTTTGCGAGTCAGAATCTGTTTCGAAGTAGCTTATCTTCTAGAATACGCTATGTATGGATAATTATAGACACGGCTGGCTCAAAAACTTCCGCAACCCGCAGCTTTTCGTCTCGTTGACTCGCAAACTTCTGCCAGCGCAAATCTAATTTAATCCGCGAGGACTTTGATCTGTTAGTGGAATGGCTGAATGATGAAGTAGCATGAGGGCTTCCCACAGATCGCTGGTCATCTACAAGGGAGCCGCGAGCTAATAGAGAGGCCGCATGACAATTCACAGATAGAGTAACGCATCGCTGGTATCAGGGAGACAATAGCATGAAAGGGAAGTCGGTTCCTGATCAGAACAAAACGTTTATATCATAAAGTACAATCGAGTCCCAGCCGCGAGTCCAATCGAAACCAGTCCGGAAGTGCTGAAATTCTTGAGTAACCACCCGACCGAGTCAAACAAGCTAATCTTCGGGAGATGGTTCCTAATCCTATGCTGGCAGATCACCGCACTGGAAAGAGGAGATCTTATTATCGAGAAGAGCAGTAACGGTGAGTACTTTTGAAATGTCTGGAACATCTTCGCCACTGCTGAAGGATGCGCCGTTGCAGTCGGGATCACTATCTCAGTTAGCGGTTGGAGCCTGGATGAGAAGAACAGATCAGTGCTTACGCATAGAACGTGCACGTGTTCTTTTTCAAGCCGAGAGAGGTGATGGAATCGTTGAATCGGTCAATTTTGTCATTGTTGGCTTTAACCTTGTAAGCTTCGACTTTGAGAAGGTAAGAGGGAGAGGGGATCTTACTGCATTGGTTTGGGTCGTAAGTCATATCGTAGCAATCGACATAACCAGCATCGCGGCACAACTGGATGGTTCCTTTCCCTTGTCTAGCAACGATAGAGGCAGAAGGTGCTGCTGTTACGGTAGAGGCTGCAAGAATCGCTGCGGCGACGATGGCGTTGATGAACATCTTGTTGGTAGATTGGTAATGAAGAATAGATACTTGTGCTTGAGACTGGATGCTTGAGATGAAGATAGAATGACGTGCAAATATAAAAGACTTTGAAGAGATATAAATACTGTTCTATAGGCTTGCTGCTATTATGGACTTCGACTTGTCTCTTGGCTACGTCGTATTTGACAGAGAAGTGGATATATTAATATATTATTTCTCTGTCCACCGTTACAGATACCGGGTGAAATTATGCCGTCAGTACGGTTTTGGTAGGGTATTTATAAAAAATTTAGGAGGGTAAGGCCGGCAATAAATTTTTGTGAACAGCACATTTGAGCTTCGTGATGTTCAAAAGCTAGCAAAATTCCGTAATCCACCCCTCAATTACCTTGGGCCAATACGTGAGGTAGGCTGGCTGAGAGGAGCCGACAGCTTGCCTTAAGTATTGGCGCACGGTTAGAGAAGCTTCAAAGCCAGGATAACCTATTGAGTTATCCTAATATTAGAATCAACCATACCGCCTAATCGTCGGCTCGCTTGGGTAGGTCTCCTTACATTCTTTCAGTCTCAGTCGGCGTAAGCGATTACGGATCGGAAGCGAATGCGGATTTTTCATATATATTAGATTTTTTTTTTTTATATTATAGTAGTTACTATTTATATCTACGAGTATAATTTCCTCTAAAAAAAATCAAAAATCGTAATATCCGATGAAATATCTGATTATCGATTATTACTTTCAGTAGAATTTGATTCGTCTTCCACTTTACGCAATGGATCGTTTAAATCTTTATTATTATCAGAATTAAAGCTATCGCTATCGATATTAATATTAATATCAAGAAAAAGAAGTTTTGCTATAAAGAAGGGTTTTCAATGATATCGGTTGTAATTATTAAATTATCATCATCGAGAAAAGGTTTAAATTAAAAGAGAGTTGGTCGAGGAATACTTTTCTTACGAGGCCGCAAATCCTAACGCTTAAAAGGTTATTGCAACTACTAAATCTCTTTCGAATCGAGAATTGGAATAAGTATCAAATCGTCGTCTTTAATAATCAACCTTGCCGCAAATCGTTCTCGCATAGTTTATTTACCCTCGCGCCTTAGCTTTGCGTGGACCGATTTCTTTACGATACTTAGCGTCTCTATTTTTTTTTAAAAAAAAGCTTATTAGCGATTCGTTCTTGTTTTATAGCTGATTCGAGATTCATAGCATTAAGACTATTGAATCAAGCGTAGCTTTTGTATTAGAAAATCCTTACTGAATGTGTTTTCGGCTCATAATTAATTATAAATTACAATCGAATTATGCGGTTATAAATCAAAAGGTGATACTATAAATTATATTTTATATACAAAAATTGATCGTAAGGTAGAAAAATCCGCATTCGCTTCCGATCCGCAATCGCTTACGCCGACTAAGACTGAAAGGATGTAAGGAGATCCACCCAAGCGAGCCGACGATTAAAGTCTAATAAAATAAAAATAAACGGTTTCAAGGATTAACGATTACTCATCTGCGGACTTGCGGCCAAAGATTTCCCATGCCTGGAAAACTAAACGCCCCTGTACGAACGTATTGCGTAGTGAATTTTTGTTTCACGCGGCCCATACAATTAATCGCCTGGGTCACCCTTCCTCCACCCGGCCTGTCCCTTTCATGTGTCTGATGGCCTGAGGCATTTGAGGCACTTGACATGAAGGCCTCGGCCATCAAAACGAGCGCGAAACAGCGCAATCTTTAATGGCCGAGGACTCTTACACCCGGCACCGACATGTCAATACATTCAGATTTCCAAAAATTTATATTTACAATGCAAAACTCCTGGTGTTATCAACTCCTGGAATCGGTACAAAATCAGCGTCAAGACTGAACCATGTAGGCTTTAAATTAATAACAAAACTCTCTCCTCCGCCCATTCCGTGGTCAGCTTGCGTACCCCCAGCCTCCGTACCCCCAGCCTTTATGTTGCAACCAACTCTAATCGATAGGTAAAGGCATGTTACCTGTTGGTTCCATCACAGAGAGCAGCCGACAGCTTGCCTTGTTGGCGAACGGTTAGGGCTAAGCGATGTTAGCGGTCAATTCGGTCAAGTGGCCTGACTATTCCATTTGCTACTCTGTTTGTATTCAGGAGCTATATAAGTAGCCACGATTTCACTTAGTGATAGGCTTGCAAAACCAAGAGAACACAATCACTCAGACTGGATACGTATTCAACTTGCGTCACACACATCCTACAATACCAACATTATCATGATCGGGGTGGGTCTAGGTCTATTTGCAACAGCTCCAATGGGGCGAGTTTACGATCAAGTTATCGGGCCTGCAAAATCGAACTTCCACCTTTACGCCGGTGCAGGCTTACTCTCCCCCCCCCCCCATAAATAAATGTCGGACCCAGTTTAGGCTCATAAATCATAGAGCGGTGGTTTCTGAATGGCTCAAATCCCTGTGAACTCTATTATGCAGATTCAAAACTGACCTAAACACTACGTCGCAGGCGTAAGTACGTACTACGTATAAACCGATGATCTTTTTATAATTTACTTTCCCCCCCTTGAAGCGCTAATTGAAAGCATGCCCGCTCGCTATCAAGCTGTGATTGATGCGGAAAGTAGATTTACTAAATACGAACAACTACTCGCCTCCGACTTTGCATACTAGTACGATCTCGTGTTTATACTCTCCCTTCTTAAATGTCGGACCCAGTTTAGGCCCATAAGTCATAGAGCGGTGGTTTCTTAATAGCTCAAAGCCCTGTTAACTCCATTGTAGAAACTACTACGTACTACGTAAATACTGGCTTAAAGATACTTTTCAAAGCTGAATGCTTATAAGTTGATTGGTTTAAGCCCTAGTAAGATCTCTTGCGAAATTATACTTTCGACATTTATTTATGGGGGAGGGGGGAGTAATAGAACTGCCCAATTACAACGTGAAACGTGTAATAGGTAGTCAGTCAAGAAAAGTGGCTGCGGGGGTAACCAAGGTTATAACGCTTGACCGCTATACCTTCATACGTAATACTTGATTATAAATATAATACGTACAAGTAACAAGTAAATACGATGTTTCATTCTGTTACTCTCCCGCCTCTTAAATGAATACTTGCTTCAAGATACTTTATAAAGCTGAATCCTTACAAATTGATTGGTTCAAGCCCTAGTAGAAGCTCTTGCAAAATTATACTTTTGACAATGATTCATACGAAGGTGGGGCAAGGCTGCGAGCCCCTTTTCTAGAAGTGCTTTGGCCTAGGAATAGATAAATAGAAAGAAAGATCCCGTAGATGCTTTACTCAGTCTTCTCACCTTACTTCAAGTCAATCCAACAATTCACATCTTCATTCATATCCTCGTTATCTATCATATCTAAAGCCATTCAAGATGCGATTCTCTTATATTGCTCTCCTCGCTATGATTAGCGTCGTCTCTGCTGACCCGCTTAAGACTGAGTGCCGTTCAGGTGATCCCGAAGATTGCGACAGAGCAGTCAGTCCACCTTCAGATAGCGAATAATTACGCTTAAATCACGCTAACAAATATCAATAGTGCGTCGGCACTGCTCCTTGCACTACACCCCCGTGCCCGCCGTGCGTATCGTCGTAAATCTTATTATCGCTTTCGTATGCTTTTATGCGTGCGCACGATTCGAAAAATCCAATAGAATGGCATCAGATGATTCATGTGCACTTTCGGATGGCATATCAAGCAATCAACTTTTTTTTAAAAAAAACGGTTGAACTTTTGCGAGGACAATTGTTAAATGTTGTTTGATATATCGTTATGCGAACAATAGCGAAAATAAAAGCCATTTCTATCATCTATTGAACGTCTAAGGGGGGCTACGATTCTTTACTTGTACGAGGTGCTCCCTACGAATCTTCAGCTCTATTTCTCTTTCTCTCCTGCGGTAGAGAGAGAGATAAAGAGTTTGGAGAGCCGAAATTAAATCATCGATATGCGACGTCTCTTCGAAGAGATCTTCCTTCACCGGCGGTTCCGAACCTCCCTCCTTCTTTTTGTGACGACCGTAAGCGATTACCTGACGGAACTCACGGGAGCGCGGGGTGCACATGGGAGCTCAGGAAGATCTTAAGGTAATGACTTAGAATCAACAGCTACCGAGTGTAGAGGTCGAAGGTAGCTGAGGTTTTATTTACACGAAGGTAGAAGCGCCAAGGACTCGTGAACCATGGTTCATGGGTCAAAAGAGGGGAATGAGAGAATACGAAGAATACGAAGGAGATGCAAGGTAAGGAAAAAGGAAGGAGGTAGCTTGGCGCATGTGAGGATACCCCAAGAGACCTGGCGTGTCGTCACACTTTTCGAATATTACGCCGATTACGATCTATACCTAACGAGTATACCGACTTAAAAGACCAAAAGGATTTGCGATAAAAAAAGAACGAATATAAGAGATAAGATAAGAAAGGCTTAATTCGATTGATCGAACACACGGTATTGCGCCTTCGAAAGAGCGTTTTGCAAACTCACCGGCTTTATTTAAAGCTACGAACGCGAGCCTTTTTAGCTTTATAACGAAAAAAGACGATATTTATATTATTCGGATCGAGGCCGCTCGTAAAGCTATACGTATTCGATAGTTGTCGAAAGAAAACTCGACGCATAATATTATAAATTGCTTTTAAAGGGTTTATAAGTGTTCATCTATTTAACGAAAGCTTTTCTTTTACGTGGTTTTTACTTTCGATTAGATAGACTTTATATATAATTCCTTTACTTAATACGTCGCCCTATCTTATAAAAGGTCCTTAAAGTCTAAGCATTGCGTTTTGGATACCCGCCCGACGTTAATACTACGTAAATACAACAACAATAATAACAACAACAACATGTCGGACCCAGTTTAGGCCCATAAATTATAGAGCGGTGGTTTCTGAATGGCTCAAAGCCCTGTGAACTCTATTATGCAGACCAAAAACTGGCCTAAATATACTTTTCAAGGCTGGATTCTTACTCTCCCCCCTCATGAATAAATGTCGGACCCAGTTTAGGCCCATAAATTATAGAGCGGTGGTTTCTTAATGGCTCAAAGCCCTGTCAACTCACTGTATAGACTAAATACTGGCTCAAAGATAATTTTCAAAGCTGAATCCTTATAAGTTTATTGGTTTAAGCCCTGGTAAGATCCCTTGCGAGATTATACTTTCGACATGTATACATGGGGGAGGATAGTACGAATTGCGCATTTTCTTCTTTTTCTCGATACTTTAAACTATTTTACTCGATTAGCTTACGGCACTTTTCTTTATACCTTATAATCGTGCGCCTCTTTTGCTAGCTAAGTCTTTCATTTGATCATTACGGAGATATATATATTCGACTGGTACGATACTACGAGAAAAGATAAAATACGTGGCTAAGACGCTTTAAAAAAGCTTTAAATTCGCGAGATTAATAAAGGAAATGACTTTATGTCTCGCGATCTCGACGACGATAAAGCGAAAGAAAAAGGATCAAAATAAAAGGAGCTCGTGGAAGAAGTATTTAAAAGATTCTCGGATTTGTATACGTATGGCATATGCGCTAAAGCTTAATGGAACAAATTTTTACTCGACTTGATCGAATAAAAAGCTTGATACTTTTTATCGGACTTATTAAAGGAAGCTTCGCCGAGCTTACTTAAAATCGAGAAAAGGATATCGAAGTTTAGACTTTAATCAGAGTTTATTTTCTTTTTTCGTATTATCTATTCCGCTCGTAAAGAAAAAGTGTTGGATTGCTTCCAAGCGATTGTGGAATATATTCGTAACTTCGTGAAGGTCGTCAAAGTACTTGCAATTGCAAAAACACTCGGTTGTAAAGGTAACTGAATTCTAACTGCTCCCCAATATTCAGGGGAGCTGATTCCTTCTATACGATTAGAAGGAATCACTTGCACTAGCTAAATACAAGGTTATATACTCAAGTTGGGGGTCCCTTGAGCCACGGCATGCTAAGCGAGGCATGCCAAGTGGCCCGTGAACCCTGGTTCACGAATTGTTGTTGTTGTTGTATTTATTAACGTCGGGCGGGTATTTAAAACGCAATACTTAGACCTTAGGGACCTCTTATAAGGTACAGCGACGTGCTAAGTAAAGGAATTATATATAAAGTACTATTTAATCGAAAGTAAAAACTACGTTAAGGAAAATCTTTCGTTAAATAGCTGAATACTTATAAGCCTTTTAAAAGCAATTTATAATGCTATGCGTCGAGTTTTCTCTCGACAACTATCGAATACGTATGGCCTTACGAGCGGCCTCGATCCGTATAATACAAATATCGTTCTCTTTCGTCGTAAAGCTAAGAAAGCTCGCGTTTATAGCTTTTAAATAAAGCCGGTATATTTGCAAAACGCTTTTTTAAAAGCGTAGTATTATGTTTTCGATCAATCAAACTAAGCCCTTCTTATCCTATCTCTTATATACGTTCCTCTTTTATCGCAAATCCTTTTAGTCTTTTTAATCGGTATGCCCGTTAAGTATAAATCGTAGTCGGCGTAGTATTCGAGAAAAAAAAAGAAGGAAGTTCGGAATCGCTGATAAAGGAATACCTCTTCGAAAAGACGTCGCATATCGATGATTCAATTTCAGCTCTCTAGACTCTCTATCTTTCTTTTTACCGCAAGAGAAAGAAAGAAAAAGAGCTGAAGGTTCGTAAGGAGCACCTCGTACCCTGGTTCACGAGTGAACTTCCCCAACTACTACTACTAGCTAGCTAAGGTCGATATGGATATACCAACAAAAAGAGTACTTATTCGTTTCGACACTTTTTTGAATTGTATTTTAAAGTATTATAAAATAATATTGAGTCGCTTTGGAAGAAAACTACAGCTGCGCAAGAGTTTAGCGCTTAAAAGATCGATTTAATAGACTATATATAAACCTTTAGCTTTGCACGTCTCCGTACCCTTCAAAAGGTCTTAAGACGAAGAGCGCATGCTGCGCTTATAATCCGCTAGACGTGAATGAATATAGTAATAATATCAAAGATCAAGTTATTATAGCTTTACTAGTAGGAAATATGACTAAATCGGTGTTAATACGATAGCCCAAGTGCTTCAAATCCCTCGGGCCATCGGACATTTTAAAAATTCGGACACTTCACAAGGATAGGCGAGGGGTTTGAGGAAGGATGGCCCAGGCGATTAGCCCAGCTACTATCGTCGGCTCCAGCATATATCACCCCTTTATTTTGAATAGCTTCTCTTAGTGCGATACTGTAGCAACCATAGTGATCGAAGAAACGGAAGGAAATTAACTATATGAGAGCAAAACCAGCGACGCCTTACTCTTGTTCTGCTTGTAATCGAACTGGCTATGGGTAATAGTAAAAACAAAAAGAAGTGTCTTGCGTATTGGAAGTCATAGGAACAATCAATTAATTATGCGTTTAGTCCGCTAGTTCCTGATATCTACGCCCACTCGCGATCTGGCAACAGACCGCGGTACTTTGCGAATAGCTTCTTCTTCTTTCCCATCTCATTAATCCCTCCCAGTTACGATTCCTACAAGGCCATCTTTACGCTCCGAATCTTCTATTTTACTCTACGCGCATAAGAGAAACATTGGCTATCATAGAGCGGCATTCAGTTTTGAGTATTGAGGCATGCGAAATTACGCTCTACTGATATCGAGGCATGGGAAGTCTTTGGCCCGGACTTGCTTATACCACGTACAACTAACTAGCTGCAAGTATTAAATGGGAACCTGCAAGGAATACTTCGTAAAAGGTGTGCGATTATTTTTTCCCGAGGAAATCTATGCGCTTGCTACTTTGCACCTCCTCGTTGCTGATCCAATCACTCGCAATAGTCTCCTTATAGCAGAGTAAATAAAGAACAGGGGATTTCGCTTAAGTAAATGAAAATAGTCACATCCTGCCCATGGCGAAACTGACTGCGTGGCACGGTTTTTTAATATTATTTCAAATCGATTCAGGATTTGCAGCATACGAAACAAATGAATGAGGCTGCTAGAAATCAAAATCACTGCATAAATCTGCCCCTCTTCATTTCCTAGCAATAAAACACTCGATAGCCGAGGAGCGCTAAGAGAAAATAGGGGCAGCTCGCTAAGAGATAGAAAATTGGACCACCGCCTCTCATGCAGCAGCTGTGAATGACAGGTACCGACAGCTCAAATTTGTAATTACACAGATGATTTCGCGATGCATCCGAAGTCATTCCTCAATACATGCTGGCCGTGAGGCTCGGCACTCTTATCATTCTGGCGAATACAGGGATAGCTCCCCCTGGCTGGTCATACTCCGAATGTCCGCACAGACTTGGCTGGCTAGCTTTCAGCAGCCCCATCCTCCGTAAATCTCATCGGTAATCTACGCTGGTAATGCACGAGTCCCTAATTTTATGATTGAGACCAGACATCCGTGGAGACTGTCGAACAAACCGCAAGAGCGAGAGGCTTTCAAACGCGGAACCCTTCGAGTGCAGCACTCACCAGCCATGACATAGCTTTGTACCCACAAGCATCCACGGTGTGGGAAGTAGAGCTTGAACCACTCTCAGGGGATATTTTCGATACCGTCGACATAAACAAAGGTCGCTATGGGACCCCCCGCCCTGGATGGACGGGGTGCACTACAGAGACTCACTGAAAGGAAGAGATACCCGCGGTTATTGGACCAAGCCAAGACACTCCATATCAAAGCTTTGCAATACAGAATCCAGCCTATAATGCTTTTCAACTATCTTCAGAATAAAATTCCTTATATGAATAATCATCATCATTATCATCATCTCGCGCTCATCGCCATCCCGCGTTCAACGCTCGACATCTTTCCTTCGTCATTCCAATCAACCCCATTTCGCGTTAAGGGCATCATATTTGTCCTGGGTAAGTGAAGTCACACTCCCGTGCCTTAATCCCTTGGGGAAATTTTTGGCGTCGGCAGGGACCCAAGCATTGGCGTCCACATCTGTGCTGATGAATGGCTTCAAGCCATCGCCACCATAGTAGTCCAAAAGCAAATTGATATTAAGAGGTGTCTTGTTGTCCCTCCATGCATATGGTCCCTCGACACCAGTTTCAATGATTGCCTGTTCGCCGCCAGGTCGCGTCCATGTTCCAAAGAGGCCCGTCTGGGAGAGCTCCATGTAGACACTGGGGGAGCTTTCGTTCTTCAGGAAGCGGGCGTAGGCGGGTCCACCGGTTTGCACGATGGCGAGGTCAATCAAGGATGTAGGCGCGGCGGAGATATAGGTTTGGGGTGCGGTGAAGGTTATGAAGTCAGAGGTGTATGCGTAGCGAATCTCGCTAGGTCCTGACTCGCCGACGTGGTCGGGGTCATCGGCTTTATACTGGGCCGTCTGTCAGTGATAGAACGAGCACGAGGAGTGAATGGTGGGACTTACGAATTTTGACGCCCACCAGACGAGGTATTGCCTCTTCTCGAGATCCCAGATCGCATCTGGAGCCCAGACCATGCCGGCGGTGTCATCCTCAACTTTGACGAGGCGTTCATTTTCCCAAGTGATCAGATCTGTGCTCTCCCAGACGAAGATACTCAAGGAACCTTTGCGCTGGGATGCGTCCCATGTTGTCTGTAGCATTCTCATCAGTTATCTGCATCTCAACTCTTCTCAAAAAGACATACCTTTGAGATATCCAAATCAGTACCAATAATGTACCACTTTTTCTGGTATTCCTGTCCCCCGCCTTCAATGATACTAGGATCCCTCACACCACCTGTTCCGAGGGTTGGGGTCAAGACCGGCTTCCCGCCGTTCAGCGCCTTGTACGAGAAAGCTTCGTTTCCATTGCTCAGGTAAAAGAAGATGTCTGGGGCATTTCCGAGAAAGAAGGCACCGAGGTAACCCACCAGTGGTGGTGCATCCAAAACCAATGGGTCGGCGAGTTGGGGAGTTTGGCAGGTTCCAATGGCCAAAAGGTATGGGAGAAAGAGGGCGGGCCACATGTTGGAATGCAAGGCCTGAGGTGGATGGGGAGAGATTGGGTTGTGAAAAGGCGGAATTGAATGTGTATTGAATGTGTAAAGCTCGGTCGGTTGATGATCTATGTTCGAATGAGAATTGGGAGGGGAGTCAACCGTCGTCTTTACTTATACTAAATGACCATAGTATCGGGCTCGTATAGATTCTGGCCATCCGGAGAAACCATGTCGGTTCCGGCTATATTTGGAAGACTGCCAAGCTGCGCCTTAAGGTGTTGTACTACTACTATATCATCCCATGTGGGGGAGCAAAGTTGCGGAAAACTTTATTATAAGCCTAGGACAAAGGACCAGGTTCTAATTATGAAACAGAAACCATGTAATTTGCCGCTGCATAGACGGAGAACGTAATAAAATGATCATCGACTTTGAAACAAGTTTTCTTCTGAAGACCTTCTAGTGAATGCGACCTAAGGATGGTAGTAGAGTCTCAAAAGGATTGCAGTTTTGGCATATTCGTAAAAGTTGTCCAAGTAAAGCAGAAGATTCAGTCGGCGATTTACATTTGTGGACCGTGATTCATGCCCAAAGATCGACAGGCCCTCGCTTATGCCTATGGTGTTTATAACAACACGCTTCTGCTGCTGCCTAGTAAGGAGATATATGGGGCAGAAGAGAGCTGAAGACCAGACAAGCTTATGTATGACATGCAGCCACGCCTCAACTTGGACCAATTTTCTTCGTCTCCCCCTTCCCGTTCTCAGCTTCGAAGGTAGTTCCCCCGGCTAATTTGGAAACCTGTCTCCAGGTTTTGTCATACTTGTTCTACAACATGCGCAGCTTCATGAACAGGATCTTCTTCGTCCGCGACTTCGTCCCCGCTCTTTTACTTCTTAACTTCACGCAGTAATTTGTGGGTACTCTGGCTAAGAGGCCGTCCTCTGGCAAAAGCTGTTTCTAAGGGGTAATTCAGCCTATCAGCGGTTGGTAGATGATCTTTTGGAATTTGTTTAAAACTCGATTTCTTGAGACTGACTTCTGGACAAGCTTCCAAAAATAAGGTTTTTATTTATAAGTAACTCCTGCCACTACTACATTTCTTGAGCTCCGTCTTTCTCAAACTCAAACCGTAAAACCTTGAACGAACTGTAATTAAAAATAGTCCAGAGGAGGCCATACGATGCAAATTATACTGTACGCTCGTATAAAACAGCAAACCTTAAATAAGAGATTTTAAGCCATTTAAGATGAGTAATAAATCCTTGAAGTTCGGCTTGTATACAATGTGAGAGTAGCCACAGCTTGCCGTATTGGCGCACGGTGGTCAACTTTAGAAAGTATCTACTACTACTAGTTCTCCGTATTTCGCATTTCAACAAGCGATCCTTGGCATCATAACAACATACTCTTTCGACGAGCTTTACAGATACGAGGGGGGGGGCTACGATTCTTTACCTGTACGAGGTGCCTCCTGCGAACCTTCAGCTCTCTCTTGCGGCAGAGAGTTTAAAGAGCCGAAATTGAGTCATCGACATGTGGCGATGTTTGTACTTAATCGGATCGAAGCCGCCCGTAAGGCCATGCGTATTCGATAGTTGACGAGAGAAAACTCGGCGCACGTCACTATGAACTGCTTCTATGGGGTTGATAAGGTGTTTATAACTCCTCTACCTAGCACGATGCCGTACCCCATGGGAGGTCCTAGGGTCCAAGCATTGCGTTTTGGATACCCGCCCGACGTACTAGTAAATCAATAAGTACAACAACAACAACTATAAATACGAGACTCGATATACGAAAAAGCTCAATATACCGGTATTAATATACTGGTGGGGCCAGAATGCCTGTCCCCATGCGTTGATCTTTTTAAGCTTGGAAAAGGGGTTGCAACGCTCTGTATGGTTGGCTATGCTTAAATTTAACAAATTTGACTCACTACTATATTTGGGATGATTTTCGACATGGGAGCGCACGAGTACGGACTCCGTAGAAAGTAAATCCACAATATCATTACGAAGACGATTCCAAGGTTTCACTTCCTAAGTCTCGCTTCGGAGTTTACAGGCACTGCGAAATAGACGCTACCCAAGTCGTGTGGCCGGTACTGAGGGCTTGGAGATTGACAAATCGCCCAAAAATAATAGGTCGCAGGACTCTACTGACTGAAAAGGCACTCCAGCGCACCGTGCATCTCCAAGATTTTCGCCTTGACGGACAGACTTCATGACCGCCCGCACAAGTAATTAATTGTATTAGTACTCCTGTTATGAAGTGGACTGACCTCCGGTACTTGCTTGACCCTGCTATTGGAAATCTCGTTACCCGGTGATCCGATAATCCTGATGGAAGTCTGGGTCTTGGTCAAAGGATCTCCAAGACCTGATCCTCCTGTTTCAATACCGCCTCTTCTTTCGTCTCATAACCTCTATCTGCTCCGGACTTCGGTTTGATACAGGACAGCCTGCTGTCTATGAGAGAGAGATATGCCATCGACTTGGCGGTAAGACTTGATCGATTAAAAAAAAACAATCATGGTAATCATGGCTGGTTGATTGGTAAAAGCCAAGTCCCTTCGCTACCATAAATCACAGCCAAATTCCTTATCGTGCATAATACTTCTTGAAAACACCATCTTCTCTAAATTTAGTACGTAGTAAAGGCAGGTCCACGTGGTGAAAGCATACTTTGGATGTGCTTATCGATTTAAGTGGCTTGGAAAAAAGGGGAGGCAGGAAAAACCTTACCTGCTTTTCACGATCACGATGCTTTGACGTGCTGCTTTTCTGATAGTTTCTGCGCTGATTCCATTGGGTAACTCCTTGAATTCACTCCCTCGTGTTTCAATTCTAAGACGTAAGTATATGTCGGCATCTTCGGCTTTCCTCTGACTCTCAATCTTGGCTATCGGGCTCAGCTCGAGTCTCTGTTATTTTCATCCGAATATTATTAATTCATGCTTTACCAGTCTACTCAACGCCCTTGTTCGATCGCTGGACATCTCCTGACATGTGCTGTTCTTCCATTACTTGTACATGCGTCTCGCTTCGGTGGAGCTCTAGCGAGATACCACATTTTGATTTCCCGGAATTAGCAAGCTGATTCAACGATTTCCGAGAGGCGATTTCTTTTTCTTTTTGCTAAGCGATATCAAAACCCGTGTCCTTCCCAGTTTGCATTGAACCACTTGCTCGACTTTCATTCTTTGACCAGGCGCTCCGTGTGACAGAGCCTTGATCGATCCATCGGAGAATTCGATATGGATGCAAACAAGGGAATCTCTATTTCATTTGAGAAAGGCCCCAGACGGCTCTGGTGCCACATGTCGGTCCTTGCTCGAATTCCTCGTCACTACTGGACTACATTTCTATCTTCCAAGTTCTAACTCTACTGTCAACTGGCAGCTTCTTAGTGCGGCTCAAGTCTTGGATTGGAGTACCGGTACATAAACGATTTTTGTCAGTCCTTGTAAGACTAACAAAGCAATGCAATCGAGAATACCTGCGTCACAGAATGAAGATTCCGCGGTCCGGTTATTGTAATATTAATCCCACAAGAGCTCTTCAAGTGACCGGGCATTGTGACACATTCTATTAACACTTCCTGGAAGTAGGTGCACATTTCTTCGATACTTTTAATTCTAGTGTCAGGCTTCCTTCGAACTTTGAAGTTTGCACACACCACTTGCACTTTAAACCTCAATCTATTTCCTGGAATACGTCGTACTGTAAATCTCCGAGGACTGGTATCGGTTTTCTCTTATTCTTTTTTTCTTCTTCATTTTTCTTCTTCTTCTTCTTTTTCTTCTTCTTTTGTTTTATTTTTATTTATTTCTATTTATTTTTATTTTTAACAGACTCTAACCGCCTGTCGGAATGCTTTTTAAGCTGGGGATGTTTGGTTCTATGATCCTCGAGGCCGTCGGAAATTCGGAATCCAGATCAGCGAGGCAATTTGGTTACTGGTAGCGTGTGTTCCCATACAGGTTTTGGACAAACCTCTGACAAGAACTTCGTGTCGAAGGACGCAAAAATTATAACGAGCATTGACTGGGTCAAAGATCCCCCCCATTGGTTCTCTAATACGTTTGACCCTCGATTCTACTATCAGGGTTCCTTTCCCTCCGTAGCACTCAGAACCTCTTCTAATAGGGTTGAGGACTTTCTGCTCCCCTTTCATGATTCCACAAGAACCCAGTCGACAGTATCTGCACCACATAAAGTAAGTTCTCGGGGCGGCAGGCTATCGCTTGCAACCCGCTAAACTTTATTCAATACTGCTATTACCACTGCCACATTTCAAAATACTTACTACGTACAAGTATACGGTATCGATGCAACCAAAACAGACCCTGATCATATGGCTGAAGGCAAAGGTAAAGGCCACCATGGTTGTACTACTCCGGGATATTTATGCTGCTAGGACTTCTACGAGTCCTCGGAGCCCGAATCCGAGGCATATCCGTATTCGTCAAGATCCATATCATCAACTTCAGCCAATTCCTTGAGCTCTTCTATGTACCTTTCTAGGTCTCTCTGGTTCTGCTCCGATTTATATCGCGCCTGTCCAGGATGACAGGTACGTCCCTCGGCCTGGTCTTTCCGAATCTCTTTCGAATTCTGATGTTTCATTTCTAGCTTCTCCGTCACCTTTTTTCTCCGCTTTCGACTGTCTAGCGATCTGTGCGCTCTCCGCTTTCTACTGTAGCTCCCTTGTCGTCCAAAGTTTCAGACGGCAGCTGTCCTCTGAACGCTGCAGTGGAATGCTTCAATGCTTGCGCCCGTTTCATCCGTAAAGGTCCCCATTGGCATGTCGTCGTAACGTACCATCTTGCTCGGTAATACCTGGGCCTCTTCTCTGCATGAACCCCACTGACCTAGGGCTGGGAGACTGTTTCGAAAACAGCTGATAGGAATGTGTAGCGTTCTATCACGGAATTGACTTCCGCGGCTTCCATTGATATACATTTTCGGCGATACTCCACCTCAAAATGCTCGCCTTTAAACCCTCAGACGTCTTCTCGTCACCTCTTGCTACCAGTACGATGTTGCGCCGAGACATATTATTCTGATCCTAAACGTACCATGTACTATGTGCTGGAAGTAGCGTCTGGTAGAGATCCATAGTGTCTCCCCCTGATCTTCCAGGCTCTCTTGTCCCAGCCATTCACCATGCGAATCTGTCAAGAAGTTTTGTTGTACCGGTTTCCGAAGATCGCTGTTCAGGCGCAACAGTATTGCCCTCATCCTCATCCTGATCCTAATCATCACCAGGCTTGACATCTTCTCCTACAACAGAATTCTTAGGCGAAAATTTCAATCGCGTTCTGCGCAGCTGTTTTCTTGACCTCTTCCTCACCTGAGCTCCTGGTCATTCATTTAGTTCCAGACCAAACACGTTGCCCAGCCCGAATCGATAATTAATTCAGTCGAAAGCTGCATCTCTTCGTATCTTGAAAATGATAGTTCGCACAGGCGCCCTGGAAGTACTCCCTAACCGTAACACATGATTTGAATGATCCCGAGCCCGCATGGATTACTCCCCTCAACTGTGTCAGAGCCGCTTCGAGATGGGTTGTCCTGTTAAAGCCCTTCAAGTATTTGGCTTTGCAACGGTCACGCAACTCCGCCTCCAGACAGTGCCTGACTTTGGGGAGGGAAAATAGTTTAGCTGATGCTGATGTGTGTATATCAGGGAGTTTTTTCACGTCTGTGAATCGAGCAACCTCCACGTTTAGCGATGTAAAATTCATCGGAGGTTGTGTTCAGGAGACTAGTCGAGGCTTGGTATGACATGGACCATCCCCAGGGGCTTATTAGCCTACCCAAGCTTTCAGCCTTGCGGATTTTCAACGTCAGTAACCCACAACCGCGATCATGCCACCAGAACTCATACCCAGCGATGAGGAGTATGCCTCCGACGAGGACTCAGACTTCGCTCCAGATGCAGCGCCAGCTGCAGGCCCAGAAGAGTCTTCGGACGAGGAATCGGAGGCCGAAGAATCTGCGGTGATAACAAATCAACCTGGCCCCAAGAAGAGGAAACGAGGGCAAGATGAAGAAGCAGAGGATCTGGGGTTTGAGAATTCGGGAGATGAGGCGATTATAGAGAAGGGGGCAAAGATGCGGCGGAAGAAGAAAGGGAAGAGCAAGGAGGAAGTAGAGGATGAGGGGGGCGAGGGAGGATTGATTAAGACGAGGAGTATGAGGGCTCAAGAGTAGGTGGGATCAAAATCTGGATCGCAGATACAGTATTGATTGGTAATAGGCAGGTGGAGAGAAAACCGCTGGTGAACACGACAGCAGCAACCATTGACGTCGACGCAGTCTGGCAAGCCATGATATCCGGGAAACCAACAGCACCGTCTCCTTCAGAGCCCAAACCGACGATCGATTCCTCTACGAAAGGCTCTTTGAGTCCCGAAATAAAACGTACAACCCTCACATTACCAGATACTAGCCACAAGGCTCGATCGCCAAGCACACTGGGAGATGGCCCTGATTCCTTGATAATGATAAAGCGAACATATAACTTTGCGGGAAAAGTACACACAGAGCAGAAACTCGTCCCCAGACACTCAGCAGAAGCAAAACTCTTCTTAGCATCGAACCCCGACCCCGCTACGGCTCCCCCGGAAACCCCTACAGAGGAGGAGAATTCGCCCTTTACAAAACCCAAGCGGCCGTTGAAGAAAGCCCGCCGCTCGATATTCGAACCAGTGATAGAGGGCTTGCCGCAGAGGACTGATCTGTCCTTTGGGACGAGAAAAGATAGCGGGGTACAACTGCTGTCTGGACAGGCGAAAGTTAAGAAGTTTAACACGGTGGAGAAGAGTGCTATGGACTGGGCGGGATTCGTGGACAAAGAGGGAATCGCGGACGAGCTTGACGCTGCTGGGAAGAGCAGGGGCGCTTACAAGGCCCGGCAAGAGTTTTTGGCTCGGGTGGAGGCAAAGAAAGAGGAGGAGTCGCGGCGGGCGAGAGGATTGCCTGTATGATTGATTGGAGGAGGTACTTTCACGATGAAACGACCATTGTGACGAAAAGAATAGAAAGAATCCGATGCCTAGGTCATGTAAATCGAACGACGACGGAATTTACATTTTTGGGTGCGTTTTTCGGGATCGCGGTATTGGAGATCACGAACACGAAGTAATCATTGCCGCATAACAGACCGCTACCCCTCAAGACCCAAGACCAAACGATGTATGCATCCGATGTCTCTGATTGATTAATTAACAATATCTTATATTCTCGCCAGGGTGCCCATCCAGAATCGTAAAATGCGCCCGCCCAAGCAGGATGGAAGTATCCCTATCTACCTCTAGGCCTCTTTACTCCCTCTCTCTCTCCCCTCTCCTTTCCAGTTCAGAAATTCAAAAGCAGAAAAAAAAAAAACATCTCAAGTTTCTCAAACAGAATCTTAAAGTTTTTTTTTTTCCTTTA